TGGAAATTACATCATTAAAATATAAAAAACAAAAATTAAAACAAAATGTTCAAATTAAAAAAAAATTAAATAATTGTTAAACTAGAAATATTGTGTCGAAGTCTTTTGCAAATAATTTAAATTTTCCTAAGTAATTAATTGATAAGACTGAATTTTTCTCGCTTGCTTTTGATTAACTTGTGTGACCTCAACCTGGAACTTGAACGTATACTTGCAACTCTCATCACATATGTATCAATGAATATTTATTTCCTTACATCATAAGTTGACATAATTCATAATATTTTCATTAATTTCTTTTTATTTACACATTTCAAACATGGCATAGATTTGATGTACATAAAAGTTTTGTAAATATTCAATTCAATTTTGGTTACGATCATTTTATGATGTTTAACTTTGACTTATTGATCTTCAATGCCATTCAAGTTTTTAATTTTAAGCTCCATTTTTTTCGTAAAAACTAAAACATCAAAAGTCACTTAGTTGAATTAAAATACAATAGCAGTCATCAGCTGATAAGAAGTTGATATTGACTAATTCTCCAAACATTGCTCACACACATCCTCTACTATTAAAGTGCCGGCGAAAATGTTTTGTATATTTCACTGTTTATTTTTTTCTTATTTCTCTTTTTTTTCACACAGTTAAACGTTTGACTTTGAGAGAATCTAGTTACATCAGAATGAAGTCGAAACATTGCGGCTTTTTAGTTGCTCTTAGGTAGTTCAACTGTAAAGACTTGTAACAAAAACTTTTAACTAACTTTGTTATTATTTCATTTTTATCTTAGTTTGATTTTATTAATATCGGCGTTCATATCAATTGTTGATTGTGGAACAACTGTTGCTAAACCTGGTAGTAAAAGAAACATAATGCACGCTGCATTTACAAACGCTGGAAAAGTTAAAGGTTTGGAGATATGGAGAATTGAGGTGAGTAAAACATTTGAATAAAATAAAGTTAGAACTTCTGCTTAGTCAAATAAAGATGTTCCAAATGAAATTTACAAGAAACCGTGAGAGCAAAAGTTTTGCACAGAAAAAGTGAAATTAAAGTAAACCGGTTTAGAAAAAGAACTAATGTTAAATGTTGACTCTTTCATGTATTTCTTTCTTTCAAATTTAATACATAAAATTATCACGTTTTCAATATTTTTTATCACTGAATTGTAACGCAAATGACTGTTCAATTCGAAATGATAAGATAAGGAAAAAGGTTCAAGAAGTTGTGAATAATGTTTTTGTCCTAAAGATTTATTAATTAGATTGAAGTAGGTAACTGATGTAGGTATCTAAACTGTTATCAAAAGACTTCTAGAAAATAAATGCGAATTTTCCCCGTCTGTTGGCGCGACATTATCGATTTTTGTCTGTTGAATGCCAACTGGAATTATTCTCTTAACAAGATAGTCAAAATAACTTGACGTGCTTTCAATTGTTGTGATATGAATATGATGTGGGTGGTGAATAATAATAATTCACATATACGTTTATTATAAAATCCTCGACAATAAAACCATAAAAAACATTGGATTGAGCAAAACTTTTACTAAAACCTCAAAGATAATTAATCGATAATTTTCTGGATGAAATCTTGAGATGATTTGTTAATTATTTTTTTCTTTTGAGCTATGAGCTATAAGTCTATGAAAATAGTTCACGTTCTCTTCTATAAACATTTCATCTAAAAATGTTTAATTCCTTTCAAATTCGAATTGTAAATAATTTAGTTTCGATTCTTTTTAAAAGACATTAACATTCAAATTTATAAAGATTGACATGTGTACCGGAACCCATACCGACCAGCATTTGTTTTTAGCTTAAGATATTAAACGAGTGAACTATTTTTAGAAATTTAAAACCATACGATGTTACTGTCTCGATTTTATTATGTTTAAAGCAAGCAAGTCAAAGATTTTCTTTTTTGACACGAGAATCTTACAGCTTGAGGTGTGTAGAGTAAGTCATTAAGGAAGTCGATGATAGAACTTGAAAGTGATTTCTTTCACAAATGATTATTTAAAATTTTCTTTCTCAAGATGAGCGAGAAGAATGAGTAACGACTTTTGATGTTGTTTGTTGGTTTCCCCATGACTGTTACGTAAATTTGCTAACAACAGCCTTGATTAAGAATTTTAATTTTGTTTATTTATATGAAGCATAAAAACTTTAATCGAAATTCTGTAAGACAATCGCTAATAAAATGTTTCACTCCACACAATCACATGCATGAGTAGTCAGATATATTCAACCAAATATTTAATTGAGTAATCAAATTAGTTTCAAATTTTACAACTTTATAAAATATATTGAAAGTAAATCTTTTTTCATAACTTTGTGCCGCCGAGTTTATTTTAAAAAGACAAACACTATTCAAGAAAGTAAATACCTAACATCATTTTGTAAATTTAATTTCTTACTCAAATGTAAAACAATATTTTCGTGATACTAAAAGCAACAGTTGTGATATTTCACTGCTTTGGATTGTGTGGATTTTTAATCTTGGCGATGAATCATTTGAGATTAGAATGAAAATCTGTATTTAAATATATCTTTTCACAAATATTTCTTCACAAAAACATTTATTTATCTACAATGAATTCTTTTTCAGAATTTTGAACCTGTTGCATATCCAAAAGTTGATTATGGAAAATTCTATACAGGCGACTCTTACATCGTTTTAAATGTGAGTAAACTTAAAAAAAATTGTAAAGTTGAAAATTGCGGGTGGAGTATTGCGCAGAATTTTCATTTTTGATTGTGTCATGAATAAAATCTCATGGCTCACTTGTGGAAAATAAAAATTCAATATGCACCATAAAAAAAGTTAATTAAAAACTTTTAAATGAGTGGAACTTTGTTGATTAAATCATTTTAAATTTCTGTAGACGCTTGAGAGTAAGAGCAAACAACTTTCATGGGATGTTCACTTTTGGTTGGGATTAGAGACATCACAAGATGAAGCTGGTGCAGCTGCAATTTACACCGTTCAGTTGGATGATCAGCTTAATGGAGCACCTATTCAACATCGTGAAGTTCAAGACCATGAAAGTCAATTGTTCTTGAACTACTTTAAATCCGGTATACGTTACATGCCTGGTGGAGTTGCTTCAGGTTTTAAACAAACTGAAATCAATGCTGCTGGTGAAAAGCGTTTGTTCCAAGTCAAAGGCAAAAAGAATATTCGCGTTCGTCAAGTTGATCTTACAATTGGATCAATGAACAAAGGTGATTGCTTTATTCTCGATGCTGGCAGGGAAATTTACGTTTATGTTGGTAAGAATGCAAAACGCCTTGAGAAAATGAAGGCAATCAGTGCTGCTAACCAAATTAGGGATCAAGATCACAATGGTAGAGCTTCTGTTCATATTGTTGGTGAGCTTAATGAATTGTCAATAAATCGTGACTTAATAATTATTTAAATATTTAATTCTAATACTTTTCAAAAGATGAATTCTCGAATGAACTTGATCAAGAAAACTTCTTCCAAATCCTTGGATCTGGTTCACCATCTCAAGTTCCTGACGAATCAACAAGTGAAGATGACGAAACATTTGAAAAAGGTGAAGAACGTGCAACAACTTTATATCATGTTTCTGATGCATCAGGTCAATTGAAAGTTGAAACTGTCGCACAAAAGCCTTTGAAACAAGAAATGCTTAACACAAATGATTGCTTCATTCTTGACACTGGATCTGGTATTTACGTGTGGGTGGGAAAGAAAGCAACAACTGAAGAAAAGAAGCAAGCAATGTCAAGAGCACAAGGATTTCTGCAAACAAAAAAATATCCTTCATGGACCAAAGTTACTCGTATTGTTGAAAGTGCTGAGTCAGCTCCATTCAAACAATATTTCTTCACATGGCGTGATCATGGTGCACAACATTCTCGTTTGATTCGTGCTGCTAATGACAATGATTCTGACACCGGTACTTAAATCTCTCATTTTATTTATTTTACTATTTTAAATTCTTATTTTATTTATTCAACAGTTGATGACACTGAATTTGATCCTTCAGTTCTTCATAAGTTGAAAAAAGCTGGCGGTAGTGCTCTTGGTTTTATGCCTGATAATGGTGAAGGTGAAGCTGAAGTTTGGAGAGTTGAAGACATGGAACTCGTTCCTGTAGCTCCTGAGAATTACGGATTCTTCTTTAGTGGCGATTCTTATGTCATCAAATACGAGTATAGAAACAAGCGAGGTGGTCATGGCTTTGTCATTTATTATTGGCAAGGATTACATTCATCAATTGATGAGAAAGCTTCAGCTGCAATTCATGCTGTACGTTTGGATAATGAACTTAATGGAAAAGCTGTTCAAGTTCGTGTTGTTGAAGGATTTGAACCACGTCACTTGTTAAAGATCTTCAAGGGTAAATTGGTTGTGTTTAGTGGTGGAAAAGCTTCTGGATTTAAGAATGTTCATGATCATGATACATACGATGTTGATGGCACAAGATTGTTCAGAATTCGAGGAACATGTTCTGAAGATGTGCGTGCAACTCAAATGCCTGAAGTTGCTGCTTCATTGGCTTCTGACGATGCATTTATTCTCGAAACACCGTCAGCAACATATCTTTGGTTTGGAAAAGGTGCAAGCGATTTTGAACGTTCAATGGCTGAAAGTGTCGTGAAGACTATTTCACCAGATCGTGAGCCAATTGTTGTTAATGAAGAAGATGAACCAGCTGACTTCTGGGCTGGATTGGGAGGCAAAGGAGATTACGACACTGAAATTGATCCACCAGGTAAATTAGATTATTATTATTATATTGTTATTGTTATAACTTTATTAATTATTAAGGTGCACCGTTCCTTGAGCCTCGCTTATTCCACTGCACAATTCGTACAAATGGAAAATTCAAAGTTGAAGAAATTGCCAATTTCGAACAAGATGATTTAGATCCTGATGATATCATGGTTTTGGATGGTGGCGATGAAGTTTATGTTTGGATTGGTGCTGGTTCAACAGAAGAAGAAAAAGCAAAATCGAATGAAATGGCAAAGGTAAATAAGCTGCTTTTATGTTCTTTTAATATATAATTAATAACAAAACTTTTCTTATGATTTCAGGAATATTTGCGTACTGATCCATCTTATCGTAGCGAAGAAACTGTTCCTTTGATTCAAGTTTCCCAAGGTATATTTAACATTATAAATATTTAAGTAAATCATTCATTTATTGGAATTTTCTCAGGTGGCGAGCCAAGAAGCTTCAAACGTTTGTTCCCAGCCTGGAACGATTTCTTGTGGGAGGTGAGAGGATATGTCTAAAAGAAGCTTTCTTCTGTTTAAAGCTATCATTAGATTAAAATGTTTGAAGCATGATTCTATCTTTTTTAACATTCCAAACTTAATATTTTTTGACTTTCTCTGTACAGAATAAGTTTTTGCTGAATAACACAAAAATTAATTCAATTTATATATTTATAAGTGTAGTAACAATTTCTCAACATTTATAGCTTTTACACCGCTAACAAAATTGCTTTAGATTCGTACCGTTTGTCTGTTTTCTAATGACGTTTTTATTAGACTATTGGTAATCAGCTGCGTGGTTTCTTTGCACATTTCTTTTTGGATTTTTTTTTACAAAATTCTAATGAAATTTTTCTTTTGATTTCTTCCAAAAAACCAAACAGAATTTCATTTCCTATGCAGATTTCAGGAAGAAAGTGGTTGAGGAAAATAAAAACCTCAAGTTCTTTTAAAGAATCTTCATATTTCATCCAGCGCAGTTTGTTTGATGAAATTTCTTTGTGTTTACATTAAAAACTGAAATTGTTTTCATCTATGCAATCTGTTTCAATAAAAAAAACATAAATTATCAAAAAACAAAAGTCTTTGTAAATTATTAATGATTTTTTTTCCAAGCAGGTGTTAATGGAAAATGATATTTGAAGAAAGTTTTAACAGTTCTAAATTTGGAGTGACTTTTCATCTGTGTAATTGCAAAGCATTTTCCAGAGTACACAGTAATAAAACGAACCTGAGCATAAGAATGATGAACGCTGAGTTGATTGCTAACACTTACCTCATTTGATAATGAAAGTCTTATTTACTATATAAAAAATGACATATGAATTAATTGATTATCAGTTCAATATCGAACTAGTTTCAACACTTTTACTTCGCGAAATATTATTCTTTTTATTGACTAAAGAAAATCTGATTTACTTCTTCTAGCAAATTTCAAGTAAGATACATATCAACATATGACACATACAGTGTCAAATTTGTAGAATTTTTTTAAAATTTGTGTTGCTTCAACATTTGAACTTTGAGCTACGATGTAACGGACTTTAAATTTTCAAATGAGCTTTTAGAAAGCTTTTTTGTGCTTGACAAATGATTTCGTAAGTTTTTTCCTAATAATTCTTTCATTAAGCACTTCTAAGAATGCCTTCTACAAAAATAAGCATGTTGGGCACCTCTTTCAATCGTCTAAAGACATATTTTCAATCCATTGCTTTTCGCGACATATTCATGAAGAACACCATTAATCACTGGTAAACGTTTGAGTATCACTGGTGAAACAGTTTGAACATCTTATCAAATTAAATAAAATTGAGTTTGATCATTAGACATCTATTATTTCTCCAAATTCTTTGGCTTTTGAAAACAGTTTACAAGTTTAAAAACCTAAGGCGTAATATCGCAAAATTACAGAACAGTTCATGATATTAATTAGGTAATTGAAATTGATATCATGTTGCACAGCTTAAGGCGCATAAAATGTTTATAAATTTGATTCAATGAATTTCGATTCCAAATTGATACAGATATTTAATTGCAACTGATAAGTTTCATATCATTGAAAAGATAGCTTTGATGTTTCCGTAATAATTTTTTTTTATTTTCATATAGCATTTAAAACTCAAACAGTTTATTTACAAATAAAAGTTATTCAGCTGGTTCAGGGCCTCCAACAGTTGTGGTTTCAGATGGTGGTTCAGTAGGAATCTCTTCTGCTGCATCAACAAGCCATTGCATAATAAGTTCTCGTGCTCTAGCTTTTGTTTGTTGCAAAACAACATAATCAGTTTCATCAGGTGAACCAAAATCACGTCCAAATGATTGAACTGAAAAAAAAAGAAATTATTACATAAAAAAAGTTTTCTTTCTAAATTTTTGATCTTACGTGACATCACAACTGCCGGTGAGTTTGCGTTTAAATCTTCATTTGGGCCTAAATTTCGTTGGGGATCCATTTCTCCATGAGTGAAAAATACTCGATAAACTGCAGGTCGAAGTCCACCATAAAGCGTGTTTGTATCAGCAATTGATTGCTCCATAAAGCTTTGTGTAAAGCTGCAAATTTTATCATTTGGATGTATTGTTATTAATGATAAGATAATTTCATTGAGTGTTATGAAAACTTACAGTTCTTGATTGAAAATTTGTCCACAACGTTGTCTGAAAAAGTTGATATCAAATCTCCATCCAAACGGATGATTTTCGCCTTCATTCGCAACTGCAAAACCACCCAATTGTGTGCAAAGCATCCACAAAGATTGTCTTCGTCCAGTGCGAGTTGCATTTGTATTCCACTCAATGTTTTCTAAAAATGATTCTTCTCTGTCCAAACATTCATCACCTAAGGAATTTCGGAAGTCGTCAACGTACCATCTAGCAAATGCTTCAAAAGCATTTTCTGCTGGATTTTCAGGTGCATCAACTCCGCGTATTATGAAACATTTCTCATCAATTTCTGGATATCTTGCATTTGTTACAAATACATAACCGATGTCTTCAGCGATTTTATACATTAATGATGCAACATCTTCTTCTAGATCTACGTTAATTGGTGAACAAAGATTTAATCTTTGCTCAATAAATTCCGTATCTCTAAGTCTCACTGCATTTTCAATAAAACGAAAAGCTTCATGAAGAACATCGCCACATTCCGGGCCTCCAATTGAATTGATTGTATGGAAAGTATTGCTCATGAATTCTGGGAATTCTGTTATAGCATTAATTCGAGCACTTGAAGCCCAAACACCATCAACCGCATTCGGATATTTTTGTCTCGCCCATGTAGCTAAAGCACCACCATATCCTCGTCCCCACAAGATCACTCGGGAATTTATTGCCCCTTCATAATTTGCACGAACAAAAGCAACAAATTGAGCGATATCAGCTAATGACTGATGGATTGTCAACCATCTAAGATTGTCTACTGAAGTGTCTTCAGTTGGCAAACTTTCCCCGTAGTAGCGATGTTCCAATGCGAATAAATGACCCCCAACATCTCTTGCTATCTCCCACATAGCTCCACTTAATATGAATTGACTGTCAACTTCTTCGGAATCCGAAATGTAAATAAAGATTGGTCCACCAGATTGATAATGTTCACTGTTTTCAAGATATCGTGCATCAAATCTTGATGTCGAAAGTGGATTAAAATGATCAGTTCTTAATTCTATCACTCTACTTTGAAGTTGAGAATCGACTGATGCACATAAAAGCACCAAAAGTGCCCCCAAATATTTGATAAGCATGGTAAAGGATAAAAATATTTAATTCCAATTGAACGAACACCTTTGATAAGTCACTTTAAATATTTTTTCTCATCAGCTCTAAAAAACACACCAAATACTGCTTAAGTTTATATTAATTCCTTCCTTTTTATACTCTTTCTTTGATAATCGTACCTGAGCAAGAGTTTATCTGAATAATGATAAGATTAAAAGCTTTTTAAACACACGATGAAGCTCACTTTGAGTTTAACCATATAAAATTATTGACGATGATTAACGATTTGAGGGAGAATTGTTTTTGTGCCATAAAAATTTAATTATCTATGCTAAAATTCGTCCATAACAGTAACCAATAGATGATTAATAATTTTTTTAACAAAAACAGGTCCAATTTGTCTAAGTCAGTAATTATTTTGTTTCTAAGAAATCATTTCAAACTGTCAAAGAAATTTCTTAAGAAGCTTAAAAAATTGAACATTTGTTTTGGTTCTAATTTAACATTGTAGGTCGTTTGCTAGGTAGCAGCTGTGCCTATGGTTATCAATGGAAGTTTTTCGTAATTATTTTGTCTTCCGCTGATTGATAGCAATTATTTATTTTTTAATATCTTATCAGGAGACTCTTTTTTTTTTATTTGTTGGTCACAATTACACTTGAAAATGGCTAATGAGATAATTATTTTCATTAAAAAAAACTCTTTGAACGAATGAACGAGAATGATTATCTGAAAAGCAAATATTTGATGATGTCCGTTCATTTATAATGCAATAAAGTTATTCTAATCTCCTTTCTTGTTGAATCTCTCTTCATCATGAATTTAAAATTACTTATGACGTGTGCAAAGTCTTGAAGCTTCAAGAGTTAAGACTCAAGAATAATATTTTTCAATCAAGCAATAATCTCAGCATTTCTGTTGTTAAGAAGACACAAATATATCTGATAAAAGATTGAATTTATTTCTCTTCAGATCCATCAAGTCATCGAACCATCTCAAAACAAATTTCGACTTGGAAATATCTGAAAACAAAGCAATTTTAATCGTTTTTAAAGACATCAAAGATCCTTTTCATGTTTTTCATAGAATGAATATTTTATTATAATTTTTCTTGAAAAAAAAGAAACTAACAAAAGATATTCAGATTTACATATAATTTATCAGTAATCTTTATTTATATCAATGAATTTTTCTTTTCTTACCAATCGAGTCATCTAAATATATTTAGAAATGAAACTAACAAAGTTAGTCTAAGTTCCATCTTAGAAAGTTTTTCAAGTAAAGTTCAAAAATTTACAAAGTTCAGTGATTTGTTTTGTTAAGAAACATCAACAACATAAGCTGCATTGTTAGGCGAGTGAAATAAATGGTTTGAGTTGCTCATAAATGTGAATCTTGTTAAGAAATTAAATTATTTTAGCTGCTTTTATTTAAGCTGCTTGCTAAATGATTTATAATAAACTTAAATTCCTCTTTTTATCGGCTTTATTTTGCGACACATTTAAAAGCTTTTTCCATTTCTTCCTCTTTAACTTTATTTAATGTAAGTATCTGTACAACTAACTCTGATTGACAGTTTCATTTGAAAATATTCATTTTTCTGTTTTCCTTTTTTCTTTATTTGTTACCATTTTTAAAGCTATTGTAACTCTACGTAGATAGTTCATGTCACTTTAAATTGAACAGCGAATAAAAGCTCCAGAAATTTGTAATTAAACTTTAAATGAGAAAATGAGAACTTAAATTAAATGTTTTACTTTCACAAGTGTTCGAACACAAGTTGCATGCATGCAATTTTAAACATTCTCAGTTTTTGACTTTATGAATAGAATTATTACACATTTTATTTTACACACTAAGCTTTAACTATCAAATTCATTTCATTTTTACACGCTTATGAATCCTTTTTGTTTTACTTAAAAATGAATGTTAAATATGATCGAAGTGCTACGTATAAATAGTTCTCTTAACTAACAAATTCGAATACAAACTAACGATTTCTTTTTGTCATATCCCATTTTGTTTTCTTATGTTAATTAATGAATAAACGTCATTGGGATTAACATGAAGATCCAATAAATATTTTCATACTCATTATGTTTGACAACATTGAATAAGTTATGATTTCTCATTTAATTACCTTGATCTACCTCATGAATTTGAAATATTTACTTAGTCAATTTTCTTTATGAAATTTCTTCACATTGTATTTATCATGTATTAACTTATGAACCACACACAAGAGCGATGCATAGATTTGGCCCCTGAAAAGCACAATTCTAAATAAATGAAAAGAGTTTCATGTTTATCAACACTTTTCACAAATAAATAGACTTTGCTGCTCGCATGCTGAAAAACTTTTTATCTGCTTTCAAAATCAGCGCAAACTTTCATTTCTTTAAGCTCTTTCAGAATGTAAAATGAAAAGTTTGACCGGAAAATTACGACCGATAGAAAGATTTTCTTTTCTTATCCCAGCAAACCAAAGTTAAATTTAAGTTTTCATCTGCTTAAATTAAGATGATATTTTATAATAAAAGAAATTAAAAAACCAAAAAGTTTTCACTATTTTTCTTTCGTTTTTCATTTACAAGTCTTTAATTCTTTTTTGGAGTTTTTTAATAGTTTTTCTTTTAATAATTTTCTAAATATAATGTTTATTTTCATCATCATATGGGTTATTAAAAAATCTAATCATACTTACGAGCTTAACTTCTAATTACTTACTAACATTGTTACACATTAATATTTATAGTAATATAAAATATTTCTTTTTCCTTTTCTTTACTTGAAAATAAAATAAAATCATGTATTCTACGTAGACGTATCAAAAAATATGTTGAGAGCTTAGCAGATAAACTTTTCCCCCAATCACTGTGCTTAACTTAACTAAATCCACTTTCTTGAGTTTTATGAGTGGTTGTGGAATGTGAAGAAAGCAGCAAGCAGAGACACCACACAAAGGTATTGAGTTATCTCAAGTTTAGATGAGCGACTGTAATATGTAACACTTAATCCACGCATCTCGGAATCTTAAAGAAGAAAGAACAAAAATTATTAGACAATAACTATAATTACTAATTGCATTTACTTCACAAACTCAAACTACATTTCAAACTGTTACAAATGAAGATAATTTTAACATCTAATGAAATTAAATAAATAAAAAACCAAACACAACGATGTACGAGCTCATTCATAATGAAATCATTAATTAAGTTTAATAGAAATTTAAATGAAAAATGATAAAAATTAATGATGTATAATTGAAATTAATAACAATATAAAAATAACATCAAACTAACCTGAAAGACCGTGATTTAAAAATGAGCCTAGATCTGTTAAATCTGCCATTTGCGAACGAATAAAAATGTATGCAAAGTAAAACGAAAAATGTTTTTTTCTTGTTAGTAAAAGGAAAGAAAACATCAAGTTAAGATTGAAAATGATTTTCGGAATGCAAACAGAGGAAAGAAAAATAAAAAAAAGAAAGAAATCATGATACGAAATTTAAATGTTTTCAAACTAAATATTTTTTCTTTTTATGTTGTGTTGTGAGAAGAGGGAGCACTCGTAATTTACATTTAATATTTCTGGGACAATGATAGCGTGTTAAAAGTTTTAAGTAAATTACAAACATTCCCAAAGACAAGACAAATATTTTGCTTTGCTACAAAAAGTTGGTTTAGTTGATTCATCAAACATAAAATGTACGTATGTTAATATTTATGCAGAATTGCATTAACTTTATCATTCATCTCTGAATACACAACACTGACATGTGTTCAAATAGAAATAACTTCAATCATAAGTTTTCAAAACTGAAATTTAATTCAATTAAACTAATTAAAAATATCTAAATGTGAAAGTAAATCAATGAAGCATCCAAAAATTTTCAACATTCTAATAAAATTTAGTCTAAATTAAAAATTCTTTTTAATCTCACCACTTGATGATGTACTAAAAGTGAATCTATCTGACATGTTGCTCCAACCATAACGATTTCTAGAATAAATAAACGAATGAATGAATGAATGAGATGATGATAAAGATTTTCATCAGAGAGAGAGCTCAATGTTGAATAAATATTTAATAATCGTGAATATAATACTACGAAGTATTCATTTCATTAAAACTTACTTCGCCTGAACTTTCGCTTCATATTGTTGATCTGGATCAAGTCCCCGTATCATGTAGCTCATGCTTTGTGTATATAAATGTGACAACGGAATTGCAGGTAGCACAACATCACGCCAGTCATTACGTGACCAGTGAAGATTGCCATAGTTATTACGATAGTTATTCGGATACAAGCTATTGCTATGACTATGAGTTTGATGTTGAAGTGGTTGTGATTGCTGTTCTATGTTGTTATCAAGCTCATGCTCTTCCGATGAGCGTCTAAAGAATAATTTATATTCCTCAATAGGGGAGTGTGAATCAACTGTCCACGAAATGTTATATCTGCAATTGACAGATAGCATATTTAATATAAGGTTCACAATCTTCAACAAAGATAAATAAACATTTATTTATTGCTTTCATAAGTATTTACCTGTCTTTATATTGGCTGACTGGAGCAGATCGAAATATTGCTGTGTTTGGTTTACCCGACAGCATTAAATATTTTTTACTCTTTCCCAATTGATTTTCAGCATTACAACTGTAATTACCAAAATCTTGTGGGTGAACCTTCCTTATGATTAATGTGTGACGTGATCCACGATTTTCCATAATATGTCTTTCGGTTGTGTCGAGTTGCATCGTCTCTTTGAACCAAATAACCTTTTCAAATAAGGTTTGCAATATTAAATTGATTTTAATGTCTGAAATTTACATTTTATGTCAACTTACCTCAGGTTGTGATTCACCATGAACAATACATACAAGCATAGCTTCTTGTCCCTCGCCAGAATAAACAACTGGCGACTCAACAGTTATTTCAGGAGGATCTTTGAGTTCAAAAGGAAAGCAATAATCATTATTGACATTGACATCATACCAGAGGTTAAAGAAATAAACTCACAAAGAACATGAAGAACAACTTGACTTGAAGCTGCTTTTCCTACTCCATTGTTAGCTGAACAGATGTACACACCGCCTTTATGTCGGTCCATATTTTCTATCGACAAGATTGGAGACATGAGCTTTTCATCTCCTAATGAATAAAAAAAAACACGACAAATAAGAATAAGATGTAACGATATTTAGATTGTTAGACATAGTGAAAATAACAATAACAACAACAATATAAGAATACAGGAAGTTGACTTACCATTTGGCAAAATATTGTTCTTCCTTGTCCATGTCACATTGGGACTTGGATTTCCTGAAGCTGAACATTCAATTCTAACTGAGCCACCTTTCTTAACTTGCAGATGACCACCAGAACTTATGTGATGAATTCTTGCTGGCACTAAACATAAATAATAATAATAAAATAAAGAAGATGGTGTTAATTGATTCTATCGCAATTTATATTGCAATAAATATTTCAAGAATATTCTCAAAAATAATTGCAATTTTTCCGGACAGCATAAAATATTTAATAGCATGATAGATATAAATCAATATTCATAAAATGTTCTCTAATAAAATGAAAATTACATTTTCATCCATCCGAGCTTTTTTCAAGCTTTTTCTTTTAAATGATGAAGAAGAAAATAAATTCTCGTCAGACAAAGAGTGACGTGGACTTTAAATGCTTGTCAAAATTCGAGCGAAGCTTTATTGCTGTACAAAGTTTGGAACGAAAATTTGCTTCCGTAGATAAAATAAGGAATAAAAGCAACATAAGTACAACTTATGTAGTATGGCTGCACAAGTGAGGTAATTTTAAATCCAACCACAAATATTTTGAACAAAAAACACTCCTCATAACTTCATTTCATGGCAGTAATATTAAAAACGAAAAGAAGAACATGTGTTACTCATTCATCATCGTTGCTCATCCTCCCGAAAAAAAAGCTTATAACTTTCTAAATATAACATTTTATTTTGAAGTAATCAGATAATGGAGTTATCCTGAATCAAAATCATCACAGCATGAAAACACAAAATTTCAAAACTTCATCTCTGAGATTTTCGGTCGGTTAACAACTAGAAGTTCAAGAATGTTTCTAACATTCTAAGTTAAATTGCTTCATGTAGTTCTAAAGCCACACGGAACATAATGTTCATGTGCATTTAAAAATTTACATATGGAACAATATATCACAATTATCATTTCGGTACGAGAGCGTAACGCTTAATGTTCAAGGAGCATAAAATTTCATGCAAATATAAGGGAAAAAAATTCTGTGGCAAGGAAGACGAAAAAAAACTGGGATTAAATTTATGCTTGTTTCGTCGTAGACTATGAGAAGAATTTGTGCGCTGCACGACTCGCTTTACCTCATGTGATGTCAAATGGATGTTACGAAGCGCAAGATCATCATTTTGAATGGAAATAGTTAAATGCTTCGTTCAGTGTTCTGTGTTGGAATTCAGTTTGAAACTAAATTTAGCAAGTAACAAACTGAGAATTCATCGTCTGTATGTATGTTTCAATGCAAAGCGCAAGAAGAGTTCATTTCGGAGTTCAACTTTATTATAAACGGAATATTAACCTTACCTAATATTTCCACAGTGTGAGTGATTTCACGCGGCTCAAGAGTCGCAATTTGGCAAATGTAATCGCCAGCATCTTGTGGCACGGCATCGCGTATTTCGAGCGAATAACCATTTGCTAATCTAATTCGTGGATCTGGTGTTACTTTGACCGTGCCCGCTGAAATTATGGCAATGCCGCGCTTCCATGCTACGATAAAGTTATCTACAAAATGTTGGAAATGAGAAAAGATAAATGTAAGTTGAATATTATTTTTCATAAAATAAAGATATCGTTCACAAAACTACTTTGAGCATTATTTAAATGAGGTGGATTAGAAATGAAATGAAAATATCGTAAAAAATAATTGAATATTTATTTAAGATTAAGTAGACCAAAGGAATATAAAAACGAAAGTTTTATTTCACTCACCCGCATTGGCTACATCACAAGGCAATTTGATTGTATCACCAGCAACAAATTTTAATGTTTCTGATCGTGATATAAAGCTAGGCTCGGGTTTGCTAGGATGTGTTGTGACTGAAACAAAGACAGAGAAGAGAAAAAAATATTACTAGATAAATAATTACAATCATTAAGCTTTATGGCTGACATTGTGTTGGAAAACTTTTCCATTTCACTCACAACAGAATAGAAAAAAGTTGCTTAACAATGCAGTGTTGATGATATTTTACATTTCCTTTCATTGCAGATTTTATTAAATATTTTATTTGCAAGTTTGCAATGAGAAGAATTTTTTAAATATTCTCCACACGTACATAAACCTGCAGAGAGTAAAACATATTTTATTTGAATTATGTAGGTCAAGAGCTTTCTCTAAAATATAAATTTAATTATTCAGTGTGATGACAACATTCCATAAAGTCACAGAAATCATTTTTAATTATTTCATCACGAGACAATTGAGAAAGTTTTTTTTCTGTTTTAAACAGACCAAGAGACAATTTCAGGATTGAAAAATGAGACATTTTCAAGAAAATTATCACACGCTATGGAAAACTGTCACGAATGTATGTTTCATTTGATTCATGTGAAGCTTTCATAATTCACTTAAACACAAGGTCGTTTATGATAGTAGATATGAAAACCTTTTTAAAATGTTTAGAATCTCATCATAAAATAATTTTACTTTGATATAAAATGAATTTCGTGCTTCACATTTCACAAACAGTCCCTTGATGCATGAAGATATTGAATGACAAATCATCAATGTGAGATTCTTATCAAAGTATTATTATCGCATTTTGTATTCAGTTTCAAAGACATAAATCTTCTTAATCTTTCAGTAATTGCAGTGTTTATGCTCAAACGAAATGAACAAGAGGAAATAAAATGTAAAAATATGAATATATTATTTATGAAGAAACATTTATGAAGAAACGTTGAAACGTCTGAAAGAAATAAAATATGAATTTAATTCTTAAAGACATTGAATAAAAATCAAGCCTACAACAGCCAAAAAGGAACATGACAATAAAATAAAATTATGAATATTTTTTTATCAATTTCGTATACAAAGAATTAAGTTATAAAATTAATGAACCATAAAATAGAAAATCATGATTGTAAGTCATCAAAATGAAACCTTTTCGGTGTAAAAGAAGAAGAAGAGAATGTTATAATTCTGCTATTAGGTCACAGATGTCAGTTGTGTCGTAACTTGATGAAACTTAGCAAAGTAAAATTGTCATAAACTTGGCAAATGAAGCCTTTAAGCTCTTTTCATCGTTTCTTCGGGAAAATTTTTAACAACTTGTTAAAAAGTTTATTTTTCTACTTTTAAGACAAGACGATTCAGAAAATTACCAAAAAGACGTGAAACGTACAAAGTAATTTTAAATTGAAGCATCCAATTTGAGATAATCTCGTGAAATGAAGTGCTGCACAATATTCTACGCCCAATTTTACAATCAACATCGATGATCTTATCTAGAACTAAATCTTCTATAGAATGTAAATGATTGTAAAAATTGTAAAACTTGAAAAATTAATTTTATCTTTTCTCGTAGCAAGACCCAATGTAACTTTACTAACTTTGTAGCTTTTCCTTTCACTTTTGAATATTCCAAGACCGTTCCATGAGAATGAAAATCTCATTAAATAACTTTTGATGACCTTTTTATTACGTTTGATCATCGTAAAAAAAAGTGTTGGAATTAGAATCTAAATAAGCGTTTAAACAAGAAGAGAAAAGCTACGGTGATCAAAGTTGGAAGGTGTCGAGGCGAAACTCATCAAGCCATCGGTCACGAACCAGCCAAACACCTAATTTATTTTCAGAAAAATGCACCAAGAGACACTTAAATCTTTTTTTCATCACTTTTGGGGTGACTTTTTATGATCACTGACATTATATGATTAAACAAATCATTATTCACGCGGCTCAAATACCAATAAATTTTATGTCGTCGGATGTAAAAGCTTGTAATGGAAAAATTGGGTAAAAAATGATTTATAGAAGGGCTTTAATTTTTGATTATGCCATTAAGATATTATGATGCCTTTGTTTTACATTAGATTTACGATAAAAGAATGTAATAAACTGTGAATGTCTCTATCGCGAAAAAAAAATTGAATAAGAAATTCATCTACGTAGGTTGAACGAATTTTTTTTCTTTATTGACAAAATTTTACGGGCAAAACGCTTATTAATTTCTTATTTGAGTTATATATTTTCGACATTATTCGTCAGTTCCAAAGGGAAGAAAAGAGAAAGATATTACTGTAATTGATTTTTTTGGAAGCTTCCAAAAGCTTCAAATACTGTCAACCATCATTATATGTTTGCAAGAGAAACTTTTTGACGTCCCTTTTCCTGTTAAACTTTTCTTTCTAAATAATGTTCAGTGTGAAAGTAGAATTTTATGTTCGAATTTCTTTCTCGTTTTTCATATATTTTTTCCTATCTGATTTTCATCAAACAAAACGGAAAACTCTCATCATGTGAAAATCCTTGTTGCTCAATCATCTCTGGAAAAAAGCGACGACACACGAAATAAGAAGAAAAAGTTTAGTTGGCAAAAAGAAGAAAGTCGAGAAAAAGCATTAAATAATAAAGTGAGAAACAGATTTTTCCACGTTACACAATTTACGACGAAGAAAAAGTGCTACTGAATAGCATACATCAGTCGTATAACCACCGCAGAGGAAATGGGGCGAAAGAAGGAAAAAATGTGAAAGTCAATGTGATACATGAAAAAACTTTTATCATTTCCCACTCCCCTTGACTAACAACAACATTTAATGAAAGTGAATCAGTTACTAATGAGTTTTTCCGCTATGGCTTTTTTGTGTGTGCTGATTTCAACATCATTTTCCTTCTTTCACTGCTCCTAGCTCTCATATGAAGAGAGAGAAGAAAAAAGTTTTTGTGTAACCATTTTCCTGTGTGCTGATTTTTCCGCTCATATATTTTCCAATATGATTGGTATTAAGCTTTAATGGAATCCACACCAAGGTATGATTACAACTTGGGGTGGAAAACGAGCTTCATCAAGTAACAATGCTTGCTGTTGCCGTTGGTACTTCGGCTGCTGCTGCTGATTTTATAGTGTAGACTTGGAATAGACGAGAAAGAATAAAAAACTTTGTCACATCATGTGTATTGGAAATTGCTGCCGTATTTCTTATTCCCATTCCACGTATACCCAGAAGAATTGACTTAAAATTGTGTTGTACATAGTAGAGCGTTCAAAAGCCATGCATCAACAAGTTATCAATAATTCAAACACGTTTTCGTTTCATTCATTTTAAAAAATGAAATAGAGAATGAAAGCTTTCACATTTCATGCAATTTCCCCTCTTCATTATGAAGATTAAATATTGTTGTGGCTGTAGCTTGTTAAACTTAAGTTGTTAGAAGAATAAAGGAAATCTTTTTCTGACGTCAAGTTTGTCCAGAAACTGATTTCAAAAGCAAACCTGACATTAAGTCAACAATGCAGATACCGTGGATGCTTATTTTTTATGTTTTATTCCCCCTTGTGATTGCTTTCATCATAGCGAATCTTCGAGAGTCGACGGGAAACCATAATTGGCTTTATTATAAAAGAGAAACGAATGAAGGCGACGACCAAGCACAGAGGAAGGAAAAAAATAAGATAATTATGATTCAAAACTCATTTAAGTGAGGATGAGAAAGGACGAAAGAAGCTTTTATAATCTCATCAAACCAAGGGAAACATTGAAAGAACACCCAAAGGCGATGGAGCGAAGAATTAATTAAAAAGATTCTTCAAATCGTTTGCATGGAATTTTCAAGTCCCCGAAAAGTGAAATCGATCGAAAAAATAATTTAAATGAGACTTTGTCAAGCATTAAAGAAGTCTTCAACCAAAGCTCTCAATTAATACTTAAATCTCTTTTAGGGTGTAAGCATGTGAACGTGTGTGGTCGAATGAGTATCCTTTGGCATTTTCTCACAATTCACAACAAACGCACTTACAAGAAAACAATTGAAAAAGATGTTTAAAGTAAGCAAACATCATTTCTTATGTTCTTCATTTAATCTCCTTTTTCCATAAAAAGCAAAAGAAAAAAAATACTTTTTGAAGATATTTGACATGGAAAATTTCTTCTAAATCTTTTGTTGATTTTCTCGCATCAACATGAAGAAATTTTCGCAAGTTTAATTGTGTAACGTGAATGAACGTTTACATAAACATTCAAGATATTACACATCATGTTTAAAAATGGTTTTTATTTTTATTAGATACTTGAGAGTTTCCTTCGTCTGTTTATTCTTTTTTCTTGCGGTTCTCAAATATTATCATTGCAATGATCAAGCTCTTAAAGTTTTACACAAACAAGATAATTTTAGAAACGTTTTGGGAAAATTGTTTCGTAGCTGGAAAATTGTTTCTTAGCCTCAAGCATTGAAATATTTGTGCTGCTTAATTTTCATTTCTTTTGAAAGAAAATTTGAAATTTCCCTTCGAAATTTAATGTTTTGTAAATTATTCACGAGTTAAATTCTTGGTAAATAATTTCGTAAATCCGTATCCTAATTATGTATAGACCGGGGTACTTTAATTAATCTATTTCCTTGATCCCTGATCAATGTTGATTCTATAATTTTATCATTAACCTTCAATTCAAAATGCTTAAGATTTACGGATGAACTTAAGTCACTCATACTTTTGACCTTTTCAACCTTTTCAAACGAAGCAACAGGATGAAAATGAACAGTAGAAGAGTTAATAAGGTTTTTGCTTCACGCTAATGATGCCTTAATTTTCCTGATGATTATTACGAATCTTGATAATTATTGGCATTTAGGTTTTCAGATATCTTCAATAATTAATGATTATTCATTTACTTATTCAATTACTGTTTGCGATATGATTCGTGTAGGATGAATAACCTGGATGAACATGCTATAGGTAGAGTAGATAATACCAGTGTTTCTATTAATTAATTGCTTCGGGAATTTGTCTTTTGTGTTTCAAGTCTACATACTTTTATTCGTCTTTGAAGATTATTAAACTTTGCAGTCAACGACCTACTTACAAAACAAGATACAATAAAGTTCTTGACAAGAAGTCATGCTCCAGTTATAAACTCTTCACGATGTCTCAAAAATTTGATTAAACTCGTCAAAGTGTTTTTAACAACTTAATTTAATTAATAAGTTAAGAATTTGCTTGTTTTCCAAGATAAGCAGCAATGAGAAGTGAATTTCTTTTACTGACTTTAGCAAATAAATACTTGATGAGTAATCATCGTGCGAAGAACCACTCGATGTCAAACACCCTAACTCGTCAAACGTCTGACACAACAAGTTGAATGAGGGAGAACTCAAAGGGAAAATGAAAAAAGAAAAGTAAGAAGAAAATAAAATAAAATATGGAAAACTTTAACGGACTTCGTTCAACATCAGAACATTTTTCATGCACTTCATGAAAATATTCATTAGCAACAAACTTCAATTTCAGCTGAGTCACAGAACCGTCCCCATCAATGAAGTTCATAAAACCATTAGCATCCCCGACTTTTTTTTCCCACTTTCGATCATTTTCCAGCAGTAAATGCAGTAATAGAATGAAATGAGAAAAACCTCATTTAATAAGAAAAAAAAATCAATTTCCATTCGCTCTACTGAAGAAATGAAATGATAATTAATGGATTTTAATGAGAAATCGTTGTTATGCTTATGAACCTTTAAACTAAGTGAACAGTAGGGAAAGAAAATGTGTGGAAAATTGTATTCATAAGATAGCTTTCTATCATTAACTTTTTATTGCAATTTCCTTTAATCTCATTATGATGTTTGAATACTTGTTAAGAGATTAATAATTCAGGATGATTTCCTCTTAGCTATGTTGGGGGTAGAAGATCCTTCTGAGAAGTTCAAGAATTCAAAATATTTCTTCATTCTAATAGTAATTATGAAATTTACCACGTGCCGATTTAGAAAGACATTTTTATAAATTTATCTTCATTACCAATTATTGTTCATTACTGTCGACTCGTTGCACTTCTTCATCACGCACTTTTCTTGTCTTATTTTATTTTTATGTATTTTTTAACAAATTACAATAAATTTCTTTTAATGCTTGATAATGACAATCGGGCAAGAAATAAAAGTACAATAATTATGAGTAATTTTTCTTGTCACACCCTCACCGCTTTCAAAATTCTCTACAACCCACAAATGACGAAGAAGAAGCATGAAAAATAAAAATATGAAACACTTTTCACGCCGGATGGGGTCAGCAACTTTCATTCTCCTTCGTAAACATAAAAATTATCAGCGTCAATGCCAGAATGAAACAAAACAATAACACAATAATGATGATGATAATGACTATTTTTATTGCATGCCAAGCATTATGAATTTATTTATATTTAGAGAAAGCGAGTGAGAGGAAATTTAATGATTCAGAGTAATTCAAAGTATGAAACATTTGCAGCATTAAGCATACATATATCTTGTGTTGTGTTTTGTTATGTTTTGTTTTTCTTCTCCTTCCATTCGCATTTGGAAGAACATTTCTATACTTACACATATGTACAATGACGGAAAATTACTTATAGTAATTTGATTGCATTTACAAAATAAATGCCATGAATTTGATTAATTGCATTTGTAGGCTTATGAAGTTGATAAGGATTTTATTAATTACATAACATTATCATAATCGCCTGTCACAATTAAGTTGTAGTGTGAAGGGAAATACAAATAACATCGTGTTTGTTGCTGTTTTGCATGTTTCCAACTTTTCGTTTTATCATTTGTGGGACGAAAATCCTTTTGGGAAGTTTACTTTCGCATCATCTAAGATCAATTCGGTCTTCTAACAAACAATTAACGAAGCGAAAGCAAGAAAACTTTCTGTTTTTTTTTCTTTCTTTTTCTCGCTTACTTATAATTCTTAAGTGCCAGCAATCAGTGAATGATTTCATTCTGTTTTCTTTCGTCCCCTCCCTTCTCAAATTTTCTTTCTTCTTCGCTTTTTTTTTGCTTTTATTCTGCGAGAGACTGAAATGTAAGCTCGGCAAATTAATTGCAATTATCTCGAGCAGAAAAAGTTTTCTTCCAATGGTTAGGCTTGAGAATGCTCGATACATAGTGAAATAGAGTCGGAAAGAAGAAAAGTGGAGCGATTGTTTATCATCATTAAGATATTAAATGTATGAAAAGGAAGACTTTACCTTCATTATTCTCTGAAGTCTCAATTATTTTAAGAACTTGTTTGAGTGGATTAGGCAATGGATTTATTACAAAAATTAAATTTTAATGCGAAAAATGTTGCTATGTGATATTGCCGTCGATGGAAATATTTCTTAAATTAATGTAAGGAAAATAAAATCTTTTGCAAACGCTTTCTCTAAGCAACATAATGATCAAAGAAGTATAAAAAAAACCTGAAAACAAGATGTGAAAGATGAAAAGTCACGTAATCTTTATATCCCATCCTATGCACATCATTCGCTCACTCGCCTAGATAGAAGAATTAGGCGAAGGAGAAAATTGGAGGGTGGTGAAGTAAGAAGAAGAACAAAAAAAAGAGAGTCTATCGGCATCTATTACGTGTCGAGCCAAGTCAAGATGAATGCAAAAAGGAGAGAAAAAAGGAAGCAGGAAGAAAACACATCTTGATGTGGCTATTCAGCGTAAAGTGCTGTACATATTTTCAATGAAGAAGGAAGGAAAAGAGCAAAGTGACTTTTAAAAAGCTAATCCATGAAGATATTTCTTCAGAGGATTTACACTTGAGGTTGAGGAAAGTATGTAGAATAGGAAAAGTGTGGAAAATCAGAAAAGTTATGCTTAGCTGATGGTTGAAAGAGGAAGAGAGAAAATAAAAGTTGTATCATTCATTCTATGCCACTAAGTTTGCTTCTCTTTCCTCAACGGTTGTTCGTTTATTTAGAGAACATCAGCTAAGTAAGTTTTTCGATAACCGTAACACGTGAAGCTTTTCGTTGTAAATCACTCTCATCCATCCCCTAACCAGAGCAGAAGGAAAACTTGAACTTTGAATCTTTTGAAAAACCAGCTTCCGATAAATTAAATGAAAATTCTTTCTGAATGAAAAGTAGAAGAGAAACACTTTAGGTTCATAATTCTTACTGAAATGGACAATAAATAAATATTTCTCCGTTCACGTTTTATGAATAAATAATACTTAAGACTCTTCTACAAAATTAATGGTTGAAGTCTAATAACTTTCGTTTTCGTTGATAAAAAACGAAATGGCAACTATAAAGCGGAAGAATATCTTGAACGAAGACAACAAACTTCAAAATTTAAATGATGATGATGTTCGTCCTCTTAAGACTTATAAAAACTTTTAAAAGCATTGCTTTGAAACAAGTTTCAGTGTCACTGACATGTTCATCATCTTTAATATTGCTTGAAATTTCCATGGAGAAAGTTTGAAAACGAATAAATTGGAAATTTATTGATTTAGCTTAGGGATATATTTTATGTGCATACATTTGCCAGTTCATTCCGATACCAAATATCACACAACTTCCGCTCTTTGATATGAAAATTCTCTTCAGTTAAGGAAGGAAATTTTTTTTTCACGGAGGGAACGAGAAAATAAAAATGAAGACGAATGATAAATTTGACAATTTTATTTTACGCTTGTAGAGATATAAAGTTTGACATCCTCCTTTCTACAACTTTGGAAGTCACACACGAGTTCATCCGCAAAATGATTTCTTTCTTGAGTTGATAAATGAGTTCACTTAGAAGCAATTCTGTTTGGAAGATGTGCTCAAAAGACTTTTGAATTTCTTAAAATAATTTTTAACCTTGGGAAATTTCAAGAAAACGAGCTAATATACAGTCGCTTTTCACTTAAAGTGTAATCCAATTTTGCTTTTAAAAGTCTTGAATAAACAAAAGGCTGTCGACAGTAAGCAGAGAAGTAAAAAAAATGATCAAACGAGTTGCTCTTGCTATCAAGATTACAATCACACAGCAACAGCAGCTTCATCGTCAACATTTCTCTCCTTTTTTTCTTGAAATGCCGACATAAAAAAGAGCTTCGGGAACATTACATTGATAGTCATCTCCATGAAATAAAGTTTTCCATAATATGAAATGTAAATGATTTTTTTTCTTCTTCTTCCTTTCTCAGCGAACGTATGGTAAAAACAGAGATGGGCTCGCATGAATTTCAATATGTACAACAACAGCTACATTTACATACTTATATGTTATGTTGTTGCTCCTACTCTCTGTCTTTGTCTCTTTCAACTCTTATCAATTTTTATGGTGTGAAATTCATAGTATGAGCATTTGTGTTCAGAAGTTTCTTTTCGATTGAAGATTAAGTTAATGACATAGCAGCTCGAGTAATTGCTTGAAGAGATTTACAATGTGAAACATGGCATATCGAAATGAAAACTTCCTTAAGGAAGATTTGACTCCCACGCAAAATCGAAAGCTACTTTGAGTGTCTTGTCGGAAGTAGAAATTTTATCCTACATACGTTTACACAATGAGCTCGCAATTCACATTATCCATGAGATAAATTAAGTCTAAATTGATCCAGCTATGAAAATTTTTGTGCTTCAGCGTGAAAACCGTTTTTGAGCCTTTTGATAAATTGTGGGTTTGCAAATGTCGGAAAACGGGGATGAATTGTGCTTTAAAAGTTTTGTTTCTAAATCGAATTCTCGCACTCGCTCTTATCTTTCTTTCGGTAATACTTAAAGATGAAGCCTTAATACGTTGCTTGAGAAATAAAATGAAACTCAGACTCGTAGCAGTGTTTCATGCAATATTTATGCGATATTTAATGTTACATAAAATCGAAGAAGCCATATAAAGAAAAAAAGCAATGAAAATAAACAAGTTAATGTGTTTTTCCTGCTTTCTTTCTCTTTTCTTCCTTTCAATTTAAAGGAAAAAGCATTTTTTATAGCTTCATAAGAACTTGAAATTTTCTCCATCAACTTTCAATTTTCTTGCGTGCCTTTTTTTCTGTTACACAACCAACCTAACGTTTCTTTAGGTTAAATATGTTTTTCACAAAATGAAATAGTTTAAAGCCCTTATCTCATCCCTTACTCAAGCGAATCTATTGATTTTCATATTTTTTTACCCGATACAAAACTGTTTTCCTAAACCATGGCACGAACGAGTTCGAACAACAATTTACGGAAAGAATTGTTTATTGAATGTAGTCGATGTTGAGACCGTGCTATGTTTGCTTCGAGAGTAAATATATTTACGACGTGTAATTTGAACGCAAAGCAAATCAATTTGAAACCTCACGCTTCCAAATTTTAAATTGTGCCATCAGAAGCAAGAGAACCCACAACATGTTAATTTAAGGGCGAGACATTAATTTTCACAATGACTCCACTCAATTAATTCAGGAGTAAACACGTCATCATTCTCTCTTACACTTCATGTTGTGTACTTAAAGAAAAGCAAGACAAAGATGGAAAAACATGACAAAGTCAGTTCAATGTAACATATGGCTCTATCAGAATAAATTTTAGATACTTGTTTATAATTTACATCTCTTTCTCATCTCTAAAATTCTACGTTCGCATGTTGTGACATTATGTGACATATTCAATATATGTGAGAGAAAATTTGTTATTTTTTTTGTCTTCCATCAGTTCCACATCCTCGTAATATCGCATGTGCCACCCGCTTTGTTATTTATGCAGTATAGAAAAGCCATAAAATTCGCGACGCGCTAAAAAGTCATAAATATAAATTGCGGGAAAAGAGACTTCGCAAGAAGGAAGGCGACATTATAATAGATTTTTCATAATGATGATCCATGTTTGCTTTTCATGCGTTAGAGAAAAACGAAATGAAGACTTTCATATAGTGACTAAAGTGAAAAATTCCTCCGTCCCCTAACGCAACAGCCTTTAAAGTGATTTTCGAGGTGTTTACTTAAGCTAATGGATGAAATAAATTTAAATAATTTTTTTTCTTTTCTTATTTTTCTCGCGCACCACCAACCTGCCTTAGCTCTTACCACAACTTTGTTTTTAAGCATTAAAAAAATGCCAAACGCGGAAAAACAAAGAGAGTTTGTGAAATGATAATGGCTTATGATGAAGAACACAAGCGCGAGAAATGGCTTTACTGTAATAATTTACTTGTGGGGGGTTCAACCGAGATGGTTAGGAAGAGTCTCTCAATAAACAGTTTCCTCGCTGAATTTATTTATATTGTGTTTGAGGGAAAATAAAAGAAAATGATTTCTTTTTTCAGGGGTATGGCAGTCATTAAGAGCAGAGTTAATTTCATTTGCATATTGAAAAAGGCGGATGTTGACTTAATATCTCAATAAATTTAAAACATTTCTCTTAGCTTCCTTTTTATTTTTTAGTTGAGTTGACTTCGTTGTGCTAACGTCATTTGTGTCAGCTTTAAAAGCCTTCACAGTTTGGTTTCTTTCTCACTAACTAACAGTATGCTTTGTACACCCTTAGCTTGTCAATAATAATACAAATTTTATGGCTTTATGGAAAAATGGCTTTTCAACAAAAAGCATTTAAAAAAAAATTCTTTCTTTAAAAGCATTTTCAACGCTTGTTGCAAAGTTTTTGTTTTTTTTCTGTTGCTCGTTGAGAGTGAATTAAAAATTTATGCTCTCACTTTTCAGAGATCGTTGGTTCGGGTTTTGACATAAATTATTGAAAAGTTTTCTTTTTTCTCTCTTTTTTCCTTATTTATGGCCACAAGATTTTTAGAGGAAAAAAGCTTTTCCTTTCCTTCATCTCTGATAATTTAATTTACTTGATTTTGTTTGGCAATAATTTTCAATTAGTTTGCGGAGCGAAGCTTCTTTAATGCTACAGCGTCTTAATTTAAAAGAAAGCTGAAACATCGATAAATATTTACGCTCTCGTAAAATTGCTGTACTTGTTTTGACGGCTCACGTACCTTCATTAAAAATAGTTGGCAAACATTTTTTAGTCGTGTTTCATTAAGTAACTAAATCCAGTTCGCAGTTGAGATCATAATTAAAATTCTTATTGCGAGACTTCAATCTTTAGTAATCGAGATCTTTACGACCGACGATGAAAAGAAAGAAGAAAGAGAAATAAATATAGAAAATATTGCGGAAGAATTTTTATGCTCGTTTGTTCTTAGCAAACTTTCTCGATGACTTTTCAAAGCTTTTAAAATTATTAAAATAAATTCAGGAGAAAGAAATTTATGATCAAAGTTGTTGCTTAATTGCTTTTCAAATAATTTATCGCTTACTGAAGTGGGCGTTTAACTGCTCTTGAGACAGCTTAGAAGCTTGGTAATGATGTTTCAACCGATAAAATGGCGACATTTAATTTCAGTGAAGGGCCTTCTTTCAAAGCTTTTAACGCCTCAATGTTAAGTAAATGGCATTAAATTTCTGAATAATTCATTTGAGTAGAGTTTATGTGAGTGTCGAAAAATATTTTCGGATCAAGTTGTGAAAATAACGGCAACATTATCTTCCTTCACATTCTCTCAGTGAATGAAAGTTGAGGCTGCCTGTGGTTTGAACATCACAATATGAAATATGTTCGTAGGAGATGAAAGAAATGTCTCTAATCAAAAGCTATCGCTCGGCAATTGTTTTGCTAATTTCTCTCGAGTATTTAAAATAAAAGAGAATCCTGGGACAAGAATGTTTGAATGAAGAAAAGAAAACGAAATTTAATCAAAAGCCGTTCTGGTTTCGTGTCACGAAGGCGCCGCTAAGAAGAAAAGAAAATTTGATTGAGTCTCCTCGAATTGATTTCACCAACTCCACTTCGTATCAAGATCTCTCAATTGCATCATTTTCATTTATTCAATTCCGTTTCGTGGGATTTTTTGTCAGTTATTCTGCTTTTCCATTTTCTCATTTTTGTCTCACAGCAACAGCGCTTATTTAAATTTATATATTTATTCAAATGCTATTCAAAGCTCAGGGAAATTTTGTGGGTTGGAATCGTTTGCAGTTCACGAAAATAAATACTTCAGATATGCCGCCAAATGAAAGTATTCACTGTCACTGTCTCTAAACGCGTTGACATTTCTCTTGTTGATTTGCTTTTTTTCTTCTTCAAACTTGATTTCGATTATAAGCCCCTTTACGACAAGTCATGATACAAAAATCCAACTGCTTTAAGATTCAACTAATTGAAGCGACAAGAAAATAAGAAAAAAGGAAAAAATAAAATGTCGCTCCATCATCGTAAATAAATATTTTCTTACCAATATTAAAATCAATAAACATCCGCTTTTCCATCATAAAAAAATTCGTCGTCGAACAAATCAATAATAAAAAAGAAATATTTATCCGTATCGTCTTGTGATGGATGACCGTCAATATAAGTGTCGTCATATCTCGCAAAAAAAAGTGATGATATAAGATAACAAAAGGCGATATCGAGAACAGAATTTAATGGCTTGATCCCAAATCAATAAAACGCAGGCGAGGAAAAAGACTCAGTGCTTTGAAAGCAGATGTTTCGAGTCTCTTCTGAATTAATTTAACTTTTCACTTGTTTTATAACTCCATTTCCTTGTTCCGGATGACGAGTTATGGAAGAAGCGAAAATATGAAAAATGATTTTTTTGATATCAAATTTGTACTTTATATTCGACTTTATTAAGCTGAGTGTTTATTGAATCGCTGTTAATACGAAACCAGAACAGAATAAAATGAAGAAAATAATTTTTTCTACTTAGATAAGCTTCCAATTACCAACGCGATGTCTCGCTACTTATCTAAGAAAATTCTGATACTTCATCGAATAAATAATAAAATTAAATTTTTTTTCGTTAACTTGTCAGTTTCATTTTTGGTGATGTGAAAAATGGATCGTTGGCGTTGGAAGCATCACGTTCAGAGATGAATTTACACAGCGATGAAGAGACAACTTAATGTAAATATTAAAATTTTATGGCTGTCTGGCTGTGTGACACTTCATCGTCGCTAATGCTTTAACACTCATGATTTAAAGTCGAGGAAAGATAGGAAGAATGATGGTAGGACTTATGCAATCTGACTGAGTGGCATTTAAAAGCGAAAGGTATTTTGATCGAATGCATAAATTAAAATATCATCAAGAAAATAGATTCAACGTAAGAAATAAGAAAGTGGCTTGAAACAAGGTCATTAAAATAAAAGATTTCTCTTTCTTTTCCTACAGAATCATTAAAGCTTCTTCATATCTAAATTGCTGCTGTTGTTTCTCGTTCTACTAACAACGGACAAATGTATTGCTGCTTTATGTTTATAGTTTTAAATCTCATAAAGTGTTTCTCTAATGCCCTCCATTTTTATGGGTTTTCCCACGATCATTCATGTTTATTTTAACCCTCACAGAGACGTTATATATATGTTGCTTTAAAGAACTGCAAAAATAAAGCACAGTTAAAGCAGCAAGAATTTTTGTTCTCTTCTTTTTATTCGAATTATGCTCGAATTCTTTCATTTCTGTCGGTTTTTTGTGCCGTTTAACCAGACAGGGAATAAACATAAATTTAGTAGACATTAAGAGAATACCATAAAAGAAATTGGTTGTTCACCTTCACCCTTTCCAAAAAGTTTTTAAAGTGATGTCTATTTGCCTTCTTCCTATTCTATTAAATTTCTTCAGACGATTCATTCTTCATATCAGTATTGTTAGCAAAAATGAATAAAAATTCGGAAGGAAAACTTGAAATACTCGTGTAATCAAAATGTTTATCGCTTCAGAGTGCATTCAAAGATCTCATTATTCGATTTCAAATATTATTGCTCATGGAACCATGCTCAACATTTGCACTAAACGCAGTTAAAGTTTTGTTGGCAACCATGTTGTGAACCACATTTTATATTATCGTTTTAACTACGTATGCTTCCATATTGATTTTCAGTCTCATTTTTCTTTCTTAACTAAATAAAATTCCAGCCAATAAAGATTTATTTAAAGCCCTACAAGTGAAAAGAGGAGTTTTATAGTCAAACTTTTATATCCTCACTGCTTTACCATTTTTGGGGATGAATTTCTTTCACACTTCTTGTTTCTTATTTATTTGTTTTGGAAATGACAGAGTTTTTGCAATTTTTCAGCACTTAAAAACATCGAACGAGGATAGGAAAAGCTTTAATGCTTCATGCATAGATATTTTCCCACTTTTCTTACCATAAAAACAATGAAAAATACTTTAAAAAGCAACATGAAATTTTCTCGCCTCCAATAACATTTATGTTTGTGTTATCAAAAAATTTATATTATTTTTGGAAAATGAAAACGAAAAAGATGAGGAGAACGATCATAAAATTTAATTGAAAAACATCTGACGACGTCAAAACGATGACTTATTTTTAGAATCCACTCATGTGGATATATTCGCTCCCAATGTCATAAATGTATATGTTTTTCCTTCGAGGAAATGAAATGATGATTGTTGAATTTACGACGTGCAGAAATTGTTATTGCATTCTCCACGCGACATAAAACTGGCTTTAATACAGATAGCAAGGAATAAAATTGAATTTAATTTAATTTTCTTTGCTTTTAAAGGGAAACATTTTGGGAAAACTATCAAGGCGTAATTTTAATTTAATTTTTATTAAGACAGCTCCATTGTCTGATCTTTATTTTTATTATAGTGGAAGATATATTTTCATTGAATATTTCGCAATTCACAAAAACTCTGGGAGCTTGCCAATAACGGAATTTTCTTTTCTTTCTTTTTTATGTAACGATCATCAACATCAATAACGCTACATCTTTATTGATATTCAATGAACAATAGAACAAGCGGAATGTCACAATGAAGGGAAAAAAGAGAAGCAAAGTTCGTAAGTTTTCCTTCAAACGATGCGTGTTCTTCTGTCTTCTTCTTACTTTCAAAATTCTACTTAGTACAATGGATAATAAAAGCATACAAGCACCATTACATTATTTCGAATCCGTAAAAGTTAAAATACAAAAAAAAATGTTCGCTTACAGGAAGAGAAAAAAATAACTTCGAAAATTCGTTGTATTAGAATGATTTGAGTGCTATTGTCACTAGAAAATCCTGGGGATATAGGCTAACAGGAAGCATTAATAAATGACAAAGCGCATGTAGAGCATAGTTCAAACATTGTTCAGGGAAGCGAATAATTTCTCGATTGAACAGCATGACATTTCAAGAACAAAGCAACAGAAAAGAACTTTATTTGACGAACAAAAATTCATGTCATCGACGAAACTATCAGCCATGAATGTTAACGAAACCATGCCGACAATCAAAGCAAATTTTGTGTATAAGTAAAGAACAAGGCTGCTGACAAAATTTAAAACTTTTACTTGTGCAGAATTATGAACAATTCGTTATAATGTGAATAGAGAATAAAACTCGAATATTATTTTATGCATTGAAGTCGTTCTCGACTCCAACATATATCATGTTATGTTCTACCTCTTGGAATTACAAGTTGGAATTATCTTGTAACATGGAAACCTCTGTGAAATTCTCAGCATAACAAAAGTAAAATTTATGTAACCGAACAATTGCAAAAATTAACGTTCCAACTTCTTATGTGTGTAGTTACACAAGCCATTCTTTTTTTATCTTGAAGTTTTTCTTTCAAAATATTTACAACATGCTTTATTAATTCAATTATTACTACACTTCCTCCCCCGCCTCCCATTTTATTGCATAAATTGTTCTTTGTTCACAGTGAAAGAATGAAACGAGCGAGAAAGTCTCCTTAACAATTCTTTTTTATTGGGCGTGAAAATGAATTGGTTTCGTATTATCAATTTTGTGTTTTGTTATTCCAAGGCTTTTGTTCAGCTATTATTCTCTCTATCGTCCCTTCAACTCTCACCCCGACGTTCAATTGTGTTCCTTTCACTAACATATATTAGAATCTAATAATGATATCGTAAATATTTATTTCTATCGCTTGTCGATATGGGGAATTGTGTAATCAATAGAAATTACGCTTGCTAATGTAGCTTTGCTGTGCTCTGTTGTGCTATGTAGATATGTGGGAACTTAAAGCTGTCTGTTCAGGCAAAAAAACATACTGAATAGAAAGTATTCAATTGATTACTTTGAACCTTTAAGGATTTCCTATTCTCAATAAATGGATTCCATATTTATAACCAAAAGCTAACGCATTTTTATTTTTGTGAAAAGTCTCACTCTCCATTGCCACGCCTTTCTTTGCCAACTTTTTTTTTCTTCTCTTCCATTAAAACGGGCGTTAAAACGTGTCATTTGGAAAGGTCTTTGGTAACAAACACTACCTAGAGGCGATGAATGAAACGCGTCGTCATTTGTTTGCTTTTTGTCGTCGGGACTTTTATGGTTTCGCATATAAATATTCATGCGATTAGGCGTTGAGCTATTGAAACATAATTTTTTTTGTGTGCCTTTGATTATCAAATTTCACTTAAGATTATCTTCATAATCGAATTTCAAGGAATTAAAGAAGATATCTACGACTTCAACTTCATTTGATTAAAGCCATAGAATGACTAAGTGGGTGGATATCATCCCATTATTATGGAAGTTTTGATTACATTTACTCTAAACACATAAACATTTACTGTTTCTGATAAAAAATTACTTTAAGCCCTAAATTCCAAATCCATTCACGAAATTTTCATTTGTCTGATTTTCTTCTCTCATCATCTCTAATGAAACAATTTGATAGTCGAAAAAGCAAAAAAAGGGTCTTTTATAAGATGTTCGGCTTAAAAAAACAAGTAAATCACAATCAAATAAAATAAAATGTCAATATACGAAATGTTTTTTTACTTTTTTTTGTGTCTTGTTGTCGTGTCTCGATTGCATTCGGGATTTGGAAATAAAGACGATTTCCCAAAAGGATAATTTAACATCAGTGCTGTTATGAATATACGATTACGAAATGAGTATAAAAAGGGAGAGGAAGGAAGACAAGAAAAATTAGATTGAACTTGGCTTTTGAATAATTACGGTGGAGAAATCAAAACGATATCAAGCGGTAAAAATTTTCAAATTATTGATCGGAGAAAGGAATTAAAATGAGATAACGAAAAAAGATCAAGGAAAAGTTGACGCAATAATTAAAGCAAATTGGGATTTTACAAGGGAATCTAAAAGTCGTTTGCTGAAAACTCAATTAGACTATGAACGCTTTTGAGAGTTAAACGAAGCGAATCAACCCTCCGTAGGCTTGTTTAATGATGGAAAAGAAACATTCATCTTTATGCTCTTCATATATTCATTATTTTTATGAACAGAACAAATTTTATTTACTGATTTATTTCTCGTCTTGTCCTACGTATATCCACATTATTTGTTTGCTTTATTTTTTTACTTTTTGATGAGACACAGCGGGGGTGAAAGTGAATCTTTCCTTTTTATATTTTATTTTTCATTCGTAAACATCAATTTTGATGATGCACGAGCCCATAACGATCGAGACATTAAGAAACAACAAGAAATCATCATGGCAAACACATTTATATAATTTACAAGATGCGTGTTTCCCTGTCATTCAATAATCATAAAAAAAGGCATTTAGAAATTGGAATTGTGCATGTAATAAAGAAATTACATTCATCAAAACTAAAAAGAAGTTAAATAAAATTTATTAATGTACAACAATTTAAGTCAAAAACAATGATAATAAAGTGCAAAGGACTTAACTTCCGATGAGTTCTCTTGCTAGTTATTTTTCATTTGAAAATTGGAGCATTTATTTTATCAAATAAAAGAAGAAGCCCGCAAGACTTGAGGGCATTTATATCTCCCACTTGCCCAACGTCGCATGAATGAAAGCAAAATGCATTACGAAAAGTACTTTGCCTTAGAAACCGCTCGCAATTTAATGAGCAGCAATTCAATTGATGTGAATGTAAGTGCCTGCTTCTCAACCCATACGGAACAAGCAGAGATCTAGTCTTAATGATCTTTATGGCGATATCTTACGTTTATTTGTAATTTCAAGTGTTTTCATTGCTACACGACATGCGATTCTGATGTCATGATGTTAATTAAGGTGGTCAGTTCATGTCATCAATTGGGAATCAATGTATTAGCATTTTTTTTCGTACGTTTTCCCTATTCTAGACTCTCTAGGGACATAAGCAAGCATTACATTAGAAACGATGTTAGATATGTGATATAAAACAAAAAATAAAACAATTTTCACAATGTGATTCAATAAAAAGAGAAACTAACGATGAGAATACAAGAGTTCGAGCGAGCAGAAAAATGACAACGATTTTAATTATTTTAATGGACACTGACTACGCTAGAACAAGTGATTTTGAAATATTCTTGTTAGAATTTAGACAATTGAGTATCAGGTCTCATGGGCACATATGTATATATCCGTCTATGTATAAACAAAAAGAATGAGCGTTGCAGAACAGCGTGTAGTCGTTGGTGATATGAAATGTATTAATAAAACGTTTTCTGAATCGTTCTCAGTTGAAATTCAATTTAAGTTTTCAACTTTAATCGATTTTCCAACAGTTTATTACTCGGTACTCATGCACATCATAATAACACATTCAATTGCATTTCTTATCATCTTTTGTTTTACTTCCGTTCATTTCTAATAGAACAGAAAGAATTTCAATTTACTATAATTGAAAATATTACCTCGAATAGCAAAGCCTTTGAATTTAATGCATACGTGTTGAGCTTCATCTGGAAATATAAGTTGCTTTGTAGTACGACGAACATAAAACCGAAAGTAATTGTACTAAAACCTCATTCGGATGAATTTTCTGTTAGATAATTGCATACAGTGTAGATTTTCACTTTCTGACAATTTAGGAACGATACTTCAAAAAGTTATCTAACAACAATCAATCGGAAAGATGACAAACTCTGCTTGCAGCAAATTTCTATTTTCGATCATATTGCAACAGTTTTCGATGTTCATTTGACACTCAGCCATTGTTCGGGACAGTAACATGTGAGTAGGGCAAAGATTTAATGCTTTTTAAATTGAAAGATTATATAAGAATGTTGATCATTTTAGGGGAAAATGTAAACCTCCCTCTGCATATTTTAACAACTAAAAAGTTTTCTGTCTTGTCCCTTTGAAAAGATTTTCTCTGCCTTTTATTTTGAAGGAATTTAAATTTAATTTTATTCATTTCGTTTCCATCGTAAAAGTCAATATGATATTTGCATAATTGTTTTCGACTCCGTGAAAAAAAAATCACGAGAAAGATTCGTAATGAAGTCACCTTTACTTAGAAGAAGAACCAAAAATGTGTAGGAAGAGAGAACGTAATTTTAATCTTCCACAAACACGAGACAAACTTTCGTTAAAGAATGAAAAAAATTCTGTTTTTATACAAATTTAAAAAGTTTTATATTAAATTTTCGTCTTTTGTGGAATTTTTTACTGGATTTGATTCGAGCATAGAGAACGTAGAAGATTAAAAACCTCGACAAGAAAATCTCATGGGAAAGAGCATTGTTAAAATGGCGTGAAGCTTTAAAGTTACTCAAACTATTTCGTCGTACGTTAACTTTAAACTTCTTTTCACTAGAACGCAAGAGGGAAAGTCTAAGTTTATATATTTAATGTTTTCATGTTTGTTAACCCCAAACTGGAAGTGTATGAGACATAAACTTTATGATTTAGCTAACTTTCCATGCACTAAAACTTTCTTTCTTTCTCATCAAGTGCATCCCACAACCTAGATCAATGACAGACATTTTAAGATATAAAAAAAGTTCAGTAGAAAAATATGAAAATGAATATTGATTGTGAATGTAAATTTCTTTTAGAATAAAATTTAATCAAAAAAGTTTTCATAAAATGTCTCTGTCTGTCTGTTAAGATGAAAATCAAATAATCACACCATTTATAAATAATTCTACATTATTATTTGTAGAATCTTCTCTTTCAATTTCGATATCAATTCGCACGACAGATCTCATTTCGAAATGTTTTGAATGTTTAATGAAAGGAAAATGGATTTAAAAAAGTATTTTTATGAATCTATAGCATTTCGTTTGAACTCCCACGAGAATTGCGTCGAACTGTTTTGCTTTTTCCCCTATAACTATTTCTTTTCTTCTTTCTTTCTTTATGTATCTTATGAGGTGGAAGAAAAGACAATCATGTTGTTCAATTTCCATTTTAATCCTTTTCTCTCTCACTTTCTCTTAACACTGAATGGGTTGCATCATTGGATGCTTGGTTGGCTTGTACAAGTTGCTAATGTGTGAAAAGAAAATTGTGCTGCTGCTGAGAGTTTAATGGCACGAGAGTGAAAAGTGCTTTTCTTGTTCATTCGCCATCAACATCACTCCGATCGATATGTGGTTTCTACTCTCGATATAATAATAACTTTCAATTCTGATCGAATGAGAATTTATGGCTTTTATGTGTTTCTATTATGGATAAAAATATTTTTGTGTTTGTTCGCTTTTTTCCTCCGAAAAAAAACAAATATTACAAAGAATATAACATTCCTTACATCGATTATTTTGATTTCACTCAGATGTAACAACGAACGAGGAAGAGTTGTTTGATTTGTAATGAATACTGAAAACTCGCTCGAGTGCTCTCGTATCACATCATCGGTTTTATCGTATTTCAGCCGAGTTAATCCATTTTACGACAATTTTTTGCACGCAATAAAATCTGAGGTCGAGTTCTTGTTCATTCTATTGCTACAATAATGATACTATTGAATATTTAATAAAGCAAAAGTCGGAATGTTACTTCGAAATGGAGAAAAGATCCTCGTAATTTAATACACATCATTTGATGCGTGTAACCTTCACTATAGTTCCCAACCGTCTGTGCTATACAAAGCATCAGAATCATCACATGGTGATTTTTATGTCGTTGGGCTCCAACAGGATCGTAATTTGCTATCAGTGGTTCAGGAGATGAGGAGACAAATAGACAAATGTGCAATTTATAGACCCTTTGAAACACGATGAAAAGGAAAAGAACATTTTTCTTTTGCACACAAAACAAAGATGACGACGACGACGACAACGACATGAAAAAAGAAAAGCAGAAAAATGAGAGACGAAATCACAGAAAATGTGACAATAAAAATGAAATTTATGAGCTCAGTTTAGTTATTTATTTATGTGCAAATTTATTATTACAGCAAAATGTTAAGAAAAAGAGGCGGCAATAGGGTGCGGGTGCGACATTATTATGTCAGTTTTTTGAGGGTGAACCGAAAAATCTCCACCCGAAATGACAAACTATCGGAAAACTATTTGGAAGTGAAATGGAAATTTTATGCGTATAAATGCGGTGCGGGGGTGGCTGGGGAAATATAAAAAGGAAAAAAACCATTATTTCATAATAAAAATGTATTTCACATTAAAATCTCTCTTTTACGCAATAATGACATGACAAATGGAGGATTGGATGCGAAGCCAATCGGAGTTATATATGACAAGCAAATGTTAGAAAAAGAAAACTTTTCACTTTATTTTGATAAGTTTTTCTCTGTCGCCTTCCGTACTTTTTCTCCTCCTTTAACTCGAAATATATTTATTTTTCATATCATTAATATATTACATTTTGTCCGGGAGGCAGAATAAAATTATCATAAAAGATGTTTGTTCAACTTCTTCTTCATCTAAGTCTCTGAAAAGCAGAAAGCATTACGTCATGCGTTCCGCTCCTTTTTTCCTTTCGCTTCAAAATTGACGAGGATTTATTTGCGGAAGAGATTGTAAATTTTCAGCAAGCGCCAGAGCGTCGTTTGAACTTTTGCTTTCTTTCTCATTTCGTTTTCCCCTGTTATTTTGATTAAGATGTTTACTTAAGTCGAACGATAATTTGGATAATTTTCTTTGAACGTAAGAAATAAATCACCATTGCTTGTGAGCCACTTCTCAACATCGTAATGAAAAACTTATCGATGTTAAATCACATGGTGATTTAAAGAACTTAACAAAGATGTCAGATTGAATGACATTTTGTTACAAATATAATTGAACGAAGTATTTACTTTCAGTGAAAGTGATTTAAACTTTTTATTACTTTTATTACATTGTGAAGAAAGAAATGTCTTAAGCAACTATAAAAGAACTCAATTTTCTTATTTTTATTTTCCCCCCTCTCCCCAGTTTCACAGCCCTTTATCGCCATTACAGTTTATGTCACAAGACAAAGTTAATAATGAGCTGTGGATAATTTCACTTCGTTTTTCACAGTCAAACAAAAAACTGAGAATTGATGATGATGTCATGATAACATAACGTTGCATTATTCATTAAAGGGACGCGTCACATTTTCACCATTCCGGTCCGGAAAAGCGATGCTTAAAAAAGGGGAGAGAAAGAGAATAAAGGGATTATGCTTATTTTATGCGTAGAATTGGAATTTTAATGATGCAACCAGAGAATGTTTGTTTAATGATTTTAGATTATGACTATTTTTATGTGTTCCGGGGCGGAATAAAAACTCCAGACAAAACTTTTTTCTTTTATCTTTCATCGAAAGCCATTTTCGTGGCCCGACATGCATAATATTCAATAGAGCTCGTTTCTTTTCCTTTTTATTTGTTAGTGTTTCTCGTCTCGTTCTCGCAGTTTATTTTATGGAGTGGAAGGAATAGACTTACATCATTTATTAAGCTTACGAATTGTTCATAAATAATGTAACGATGATAAAATTACGGTCAGTCGAGACCGAGGCGATTTTCATTCAAATATTTGAGGGAGAATGAGAGCCACTCGAAAATTCCACAGGAATAATGAAATTATCTCTTACCGCAGCTAATACTTTATTAAATGCCGACAAAATATATGCCAAAATGTTCAACTCCCTTCGATAATTTTCCCTGTTCGTGTGCACATGAAAATTGTGAAAAGTTTTTATGTTGTTGTTAATATGTGTGAAAATTATAACAAAATAAACAGCATTAACTACTGAACGGAGATTTCGTGTATTAATGTTGAAACTCTTAAAAACATCATAATATTATTTTCATAAATCGCTTAACAACCGCAGCAATATATCTTAACATGAGAAGTAAGCGCGCTAAAATGAAGAGAACGAGGAGAAAATAAGGCGGAAATAAAAGTCATGAAGTTGATGTTTTGATGACAGAAAATGTGATAAAACAAATCATGAGGGAGGCTTTACTCTCAGCTGTTTACATACATATATCTAACTAAATATATTCGGAAAGAAAAGTTTTGTGCGAATTATTTGCTTCGGCATTGAAAAATGCTGAGTCAACATCTAAATTGTTACGCTAGCGCGTTTAAGTAATAGCGACCTTCAGCAAATTTATACTAATCCGTGTTATTAATTCTCAGTACAAACGTACACAGAATGCATTAATCATTCACCGTCGCATGTCTCGTATTAAGGCTTTGAAAAAAGTAATTAACACATTATAATGTGTCATAATAAGAGGCAAATGAAATGCTTGATATATGCGATTGTCACATAAAACACGACATTAAAGTCGCTAGGGGAATCAGGAAAAAGAACGGAATCAGTTCTACCGCCTGTTTTACAGTTTTCAATTAATTTTTCCTCGTCCTTTCAACTTCATAAACGGATATACAAAGATCCGCTTTGTTGTAGATGAAATCAATTTGTGCTGTTAATTTTCTTGTGGCGTTTTAAATTATTTAAAACCAACACTGGCTTTAATGAACATAAAATAATTAAAAAATTAATGCTTATAACTCTAGTTTACTGTTTTTATGTTGTGTGAAATATTGAACTCAAAGTTGATACCACTAATGAAGCTTTATTCATAATTTTTAAATCGGATTACTTCATGAGTTGTGTTTTGAGATGATTCTACCGAAATCGAGATGAATTTTCAATTTTGAAGCTGCAGAGTTGTTCATTACTCACATTTCAATTCAATGAAGTTTTTCTCGAAAGCATTTTATCACACACAAAAAAAATGTAATCATTCTTTCGTTTCATGAGCTGAGGAAAAAGTTTTGTCGGTAAAAGATTACAAGTTAAAGTAACAAAGAACATTGAAGTCGACTGTTTCCTGAACTAAACCTTTCTTCTCTATCCCAAGCATTATCTACTCAATTCTTGTTTTCTTTTTTGACATTTTTCGATCTATTGTCAATGACGGCCGATATTGTTATATTTTTTGCATGTGTTGTGTGCACTTAAAGATGAAAAGACCCTCGGCATGTGATATCAGTTGATAAAAATCGATAGACAAGGATCTGAACAAAAAAGCCACAACAAAAAAAATTCTCCCGAATATTCTTAAAATAGAAACTCATCACATTGAATTGAGTTGAAATTGAAGACAAGATGGAAAGCGTCAAAGTATCTCCAGAAACTTTATGTTTCATCCAATTGACGATAGCATTGTTCAATGCTTGGGGGAAATTGAAAATAAAGTCGACATCAATACGGCAGATATTAGGGCGAGTTACGATTGCCATTTCTATCATAGACTGCTACTTTTTTGTGAAAATAGAGAAAAATTCATTAAAGTCATAATGGCAAACAATCTATAGATATTTCGTATCATAAAGTTTTAATTATATCCTAAAAATAAACTCCAACGACTTCAACTGTAAATGTTGTTATAAGCAAAGCAATTCGAAGGGTGATTGTCTAGTGTTTATGTGTTTTTTTTCTGTCCTTTCAACCCGCTTCTTAATTCTCATTTTGTCAAAGCCATTTAGCAAACAAGTCAGAGAAGTGAATGTGCAAATTTACAATTTCTTTTCAAAAAGATTTTCTCGTGATATTTGTTGTTCTCGATAACCCTTAGTTGAAAACGAACGAGAACGTTAAAACCATCGAATCAATATTTGGAAAGGCGAGTGAAAGTATTCATTTCACTCGCTGAAGGGATTAGATGGTTGAATGAGGGTAAAAACTATTATTATTATTATTATTATGGCCAATAAAGCAGTTAAAACGAAGAAGAAAGGAGTATCATTGATGACGCATAATTACTCGATGGTTGAGTGACGCAACACTTAACAAAGTTCGGTCAAACATTAAACAAAATATGCAAATAGCAATTTCGAAGTTTCTTCTTTTTGTTATTGTAGTCGAAATTATATGCTTGACTACATCATTGGTTCCAAGTATTTCCTTCTCTATTCAAATACTTGTAATATATACAAAATATACAAAAAAAGAAATGAAAATGAAGCAAAATCATTAAATAAATGAAAGGAAGAACATTCATTAATAAGTATCTCGAACGACCATTATTTAAGATTTATTCAAACAGAATTGCAATTTCCTTTCAAAGCTTTAATCAAATATTTGCTGAAACCGTTTTTAAAGCAAAGAAATTCTTGGATTTTGCTGATTTCTTTGATTATGATTCCTTTTAAATGTCGCCGAAAGATTTCTTTTTTTCCCTTCCATAAATCGAATTGCAAATAAAACTCAAACAAAGAGAAATAATCTAAACTCACAATCTGTTTTCGATTATTGTTTTGTGGTTTTATGAGACGAAAGGAAATAAAAATAAAGATGTCCCTCGACATCATGTATTCATCATAACATAAAAGAAGGAAATGATAGGAAGGTCTATAATCCGGTTTCTATTTTCGCAATAATAAATGTTGATCAATGAATATAAATGACGAGAGAGCGAAAGATTTTTATAAATGTCTGAGCATCTTTCTTTCAATTGACATCCGCTCGTTTGTTTTCTCATTCAATTTATCAGGACACTTTTCACTCTTTTTATTTTTTTTTGTTCACATATAATCCGGACCCTGAAGAGAAAGTTCATGGACATAAAATAAAATCTGTCTTGTTATTTTTTCATTATACGTGTGTTGTCTCCCCCAATTTGTCGTGTATTATCTTATCAAACAGCTTCAAGGTGTTTTCATAAAAGAGAAGAATCATTCTCAACATTTAAAAACTGCCTTCAACGTTCTTTCTTCTTAAATTCATTGGCTATGGAGAAACATTCTGTATTTAAAATGAAAGAATAAAAACCACTTCATTCACAATAAAATGAAATGACATCGTCATCTTCACATGATTTTCATGCTCTTAAAGTACTAAATAAGGGCTAGGGATAAAACAGAATCAAACAAAACTTTTATTCAATCCTTCGTGTTCTCCATTTTACATCTGCTTCTCATTCTCTTTTAATGAACTTCTATTTTAGTAGTCAACAAGTGAAGAGTGGCATGATGCCTTTGTATACAAAAAAAATAAAAAAAGATGGGGTAAGCATTCATTCAAGTAACACAGAAATAAAAAATAAAAAACATAAAAACCGCTCAGCGAACAGGAATGTTTGAATAAGAGTGCTTTTGTTGTTGCCGCTTGCTACTTCCATGTTGAATTTTAGAATGATGTGTTGGTAGAGGAAGAGAAGGCGAGAATTCTATACGAAGGCAATAGAAATCAGCATGAACATTCAAAGCAGATAAAATGCAATCTGCTAAGACACAAACGATATAGAGAAACTTTTCGTTAATGTGACGTAATAAAAATAGATTCAACATCCACTCTACTCCCAATACGCTCATTTATTTACGACTTTAAGATGTACTTTGGGGAGCGCTTTTTGGATTCATCTATCATGTGCTTTAACAGCAAAGGCGAAAAAATTTATTAAATAATTGATTTCTCATGCTCCCAAAGCGGTCATAAATATTCCATATGTGTCAAATACATACTCTCAATGTACCAAAATGGATTCGATAAACATCACATTCTTCCAACTTCTAGTGCTTGGTATTTCACTCCCCTTAACACTTATCTGACTTATCTTTTCATCCAGCGAAAGCTAAACTTTTATTTATTGCACATGTTTTATGTCTTGAAACTTCGAAAGCAGGAAAGAAGAGCTGAAGAAAAGGTTGGCGCTTATAAAGATGTTTTTATTAAAAGTCGGAGCGTGAAGCGGGCCATATTTTAGACCGTCTTTAGGCTCTCACTTGCACCCTTTATACCAATTCTTTTTACTCGTTTTTTTCTTCTCCTGTTTCCTCGATTTAAATTTTTGAAATATTACATGCACGTGATTTCTGGCATCAATAACACAGTTTTAAACTGCTAAACGAGGGTGCAAAGCCCCTTCGTTTTGCTGCAAATCACGTAGAACTTCTTCCTCTTGTTTTGCAAAATAAGGAAAATTATGAATAATTTGTTTGGTTAAAATGGGCGAAATTTGATGTAAATTATGGTTGATGTAATGTTTTTCAGCGTGAACAAGTAATAATCTTGTGAAGTTTATTAGCCGCAGCTTCATAAATGAAATTGGTTTTTACGCCTTTGAGGTATGCAATTTAAGGTGCTTCAGTTGCCAAAACACGCGCCTTAAATTTATGCAATTGATTGAGCAATATTTATTGATAAAAGTAGAATGACTTCAACCCTTTCTTTGATTACCTATTTTCATATTAAACCTCCCTTATTTAATACTTAGATAGAAACATAGATACTCGTTTAATATATGAAACCAATCGATAACAAACATTTTCAACTCTACTCAAAGTAATCAAGAGAAAGCATATTTAAATGATTTCAAAAGTGATGACAGGGAAAGCAACTGAATTATTTAGAATCTTAATTGAAAATGACATATTTTAGGTAGGTAATCTCTGTAGCTTTCTAACTGATCCTTGGCTTCCCAAAAGAGACCAATAATGACGTCCTGTTGCAGTCAACAAATAATCGATAATTGTTTGAAACTTTTTACTTTCGATTTTGCCTTCAACAATTTTAACTTTCACCTAATTTTTGAATATAAATCTTTCAATTTTCAGAAATGAAACCTTTTCACTATCTCAGCCCAATGTTAAATGCTCTTTAAAGCCACAGAATTCAGGTTAGCAAGGGCAATGGTGAAGGGAATTATCTTCTTCGCTATGGCTCGTTCAATGAAAAACTTTTCTGAATGAACACAATGTTTTACAATGTTTTTGGGTGGAAAATTTACGTAAAGATAAATAACAAAATTTCTCACTACGAAAGAACGTCTCATGGCTCGTATCCAAAAACTATTATGAATAGAGCAGCAACAGTAACGGGACTAAAAAAGGGGGAACGAGTAGAGATTATGAGCTGAATTATGAAGATATTTTTTATGGTCAACATTAAATATTAGGAGAAAGACTTTTTTGGGTTCTGTCCCAAGCCCAAATAATGAAAACTTCCTAACCAAAGGAATAGTGGCAATGTTTAGTTTTAGTATCAAAACATTTTTGGCTTATTAAATTTTCAAAAAAAAACAGAAAAGTATTCTTCTTCGAGTAAATAAATGGTTATGAAGTTGCTTACATGTACATGAGATGGAGATGATGATGATGATTATGTGAAAAAGGGGGGAGAAAAAAAAACCTTTCAAGTCTCATTTCTCAAAGTCGAGTAACGAAATATCCCAGAGGTAGCATTACGCAATTGGATTATTTTCTTCTACGACAAGAAAACGATTTTCAAGTTGTTTTTATGATTATGAGATTAAATACTAGCAACATATAACCCGTACATGGAGGAAAAAGTTCTTCAATTAGTTTTTTTTTAATAACAGCTCAGCATTTTTCTGTTCTCGATCAATTACACTTTTGTCGATAATAAAATCTGCGCAAGGCAATTATATTCAGTACTTCTCTTTTCAAGGGTTAATTTTGATATCATGAAGCTTGAAACTAAACAATGAAGCATGTTTCGTAACAAAAATTTTAATGTTTATATTTAGTTATAAAAGGCATTTTTGAAAATGAATTATATTACACATTTCAGTTTACTTCACCCATTTTCATACCCACGCACACCATTTTAATCAGAAACAAATTTTTTTCTTTAACTGTAGCCTCGAGAGAATGTCAGAAGGCTTTGAGTTGAATAGCAAGCTGAGAGTTTGAAAAATACTTCATTTTTACTGTTATTTAATACTGAAAAATTGTTAGCAAATCCAAGAAAAAAAAGGGATTGTGTTCAACTCTTTGTATAATTATTTAAATATTATGTTGATACCCATAAGCACTTTATTATATTTCTTTCTTCAACTGCTTCGCCAGTTCAAATTTAAATTTCAATCCCAATTTTGAGCGGATTAAATAATAAATTTTATGGAAAATCCTTAAGACAAGTCATGCAAACGAGTGAGAGAAGCAGAAAACAATGCAAAATCGTTTCCTTAATTAAAGCTCTTAATGTGAAGTTGTCGCAACTTGTGCGTTGTTTCAACGACTTAATTAAAAAATTTCCTTTTTGCAAGGAAGAGAAACATTCTTTACAATCCTGCGAAGCTAACTAGGCATTTTATGACGAGGTTTAATATCACTCCTCCTACCTCCCTATTCATCCTTCATAACGAGAAATGGGAAAAGAAAAACACGGGGTTTTAAATTTCGGTGTAAACGAAAGATGTGAAGAGACATATTGTGAAATAACGTTGAAGGATCCATTAGCGAAAAGCAACAGCGAATGTGTTTTGATACTCGAGATAACTCAAAGAAAGACTTCAAAAATAGGGAGAAAGCGAGAACAGTGGAATGAAAGGAAAAAACGAAAAAAAAAGATGAAGAAGCGAGACCTGTTTAGTGAACACAAATTTGTTTTTCCAGATGCTTTTCTTTCTTCATCTTCATAGTTAATTTTGTATCATCAACGAAAATGATTATTTTAATTGTGTCGCTTCTTTTTTTACAATATTAAAAAAACAAGAACTGTGCTCGTGCAATTTGGTTTTAAAGTGGTTGAAATTATTTCTGTGGTTCTGTTCTTCCGCTCTGTTGATGACTGACAAATTTTGTTGACTTAACTTCGTTTTTTTAAATTGAGAGTGATGTTAAATAAAAACATTTTTGGTAGAAAAGAGGAATTGAAGGTTTTCCAGGATAAAAATTATTGTCGAACTTCTAATCTTCCTCAAATATGATTTTTGACCCTCATCATAATGTCAAATGTGCGTCTGAAGCTTCCTTATTGACTGGAAGCTTCTCATTTAGATTTGCCTTCATCACAACAGATTCAATTCTTGATGAGGGGTTTATTTATATTTGAACGGGATAATCATGAGAAGAAGAACAGAAACGAAAACTTTTCCTTGATGACGACAATCATAATAATTTTGGACATCTGATAACACAGACTTTGAGCTTTTTGTGAATGGGCCAAAAGCTAATTGAAAGAAAAGAAAATATTTTAATGTTTACTGGTTAGTTTGATCAGAATATCTCATCAAGAATCTTGGTTTTCGTAACTTTTCTTATAAAATTTAAGTCTTTAAAACAAGATGTAGATAAAAGACTGTTTTTAATCAACTTTTATTTATTAAGTGCAATGAACTATGCTTTTTATTATTGAGCATCGGATGTTTATATAATTTATATAAAATGTTAGCAACAAATGTTAGCTCTTTTAATAGAGATAACTCGGTGAACTTTTATTAAGCGCACAGAATTGAGGACACTCCGCTCTGACATCTTAAACAATTCTCTAATTTTTTTAAATTTCATTTTCAAACTTTATCACAATTCATTCTCACCCAAGCGCTGATTCTTTTTATTCGTTTTATTTTCACTTTAATCTTTCATCTCTTTTTATCAAATAATATATATTCATAGTGAAAACATTACATAGAAGCTCATCTCTCCAATGACAAAATGGAAACATTTTTTTTTTCTTTACAAAAAGAGGGCAATCATAGAGATTATGAAAGTGTGGAGGGTGAGGCAAGAAAAGAAAATCGTTGGTAAATGAGACTTTTATGCGGAAACATGATGAAGGCAGGAGGATTTATTTCTTAAGCTCATCGCTGTGAAGACGATATCATTTCAAGCTTCTAGCTGAAAGAGTAAAGACTTCATGAAAGGAGCAATGAGATGAAGAAGAAAATGATTTTCATGCGACTTTTCCTTTGTACGTTCATACATAAAAAGAAAATTCGCTTTCAATGCTTCAGGGAGGTCAGACAAACATCTTTTCGTCATCATCATTCTACAAGACATTTAAATTAATCTCATACCCATTTCTAAATACGAGTAAGAAAGAATAAAAATAAGACGTTGACAGAACATTAATTTTCATTCTCTAGAAGCTTTCTTTCTGTTCTCTTTTCCCTCGTGAAGATGTCCAAGACGTATCAAAAAAAAAGCAAAAATGTGGCAGTTATAGAAGGAAGATATGGAAAAGGAAAAGCAAGGAAAAGATCAAAAAGTTGAGGTTGAAAGGTCGGGATTTTGTTTAACTCTTGCATCTGACTCTAACAAAGATAATCAGTTCCAGGCAATGGATTGTAATAGCTTGAGAAAGGCAAAAGCACAGATTCACTTCATCTCATCACGAACATGCATATTTAATATACCCAATTTTCTACTCTTACGTGACAACAGGCAGAGAATGAAAGTTCAAGTCGTCTCATGAATGTGAAACTTTAAAGCGCAACTTGTCTGCATGTCATAAAAAGCGTTATTAGCAATTATGCTGGCATGCCTTTTTCGTTCTCTCTTTATGGTTTTTCATCATCATAACATCAACAATAGCATCAATATTAACAAACAGCAAGAGAGCAGTCATCTTTCTCAACTCTAACCTTCTTCATGCCTTCTCAATTGACCCTCTTTTTTATGAGCTCAACAACAAAACAAAAACAAAAATAAAAAAAGAAGAAGAAAACACGAAAATAAATCATGAGTGGTTCTGTGGGGAGGTTTAAAATGTGGGGGCCAAGTGAATTTTATTGCCTTGAATTTTATTTTTGTTTATGGTTAATGAGGAGACACGAGAGAGAGAAAAGGGAAAAATAATAAAATGTCAACTCAAACCGCACGGACAAACTAACAAGTTGCTATGTAACTCTTAAACCCTTTTTGAATAATAATTAATTGATTGCCTTTGTTGTACAAGATGACATGTAACGAGCTTCTCTTCCTCTTCTCCGAGTTTGATTTATAGCGAGAGGCTCATTTGGATAATTTCCTGAAAAACTTTGAAATCACGTCACTTTCTCTTCCACGAGCCTCAGCTTTTCCATCTATCTTGTCTTGCACAAGAACTTTTATTTTCAGATTTTTGCTCAAGCAAGCAAATGTTTACATAAAGTTCGGTATCGTACAAGAAACTTTTTTCTCCTTCTTCTATCCATTATAATAATGAAATTAAACTTTTCTTCTCTCATCGTTTCTTTTTCTTCTTCATCTCCTTGAATTCAATTTTCAATTTAAACAAAAAAAAATTTATTCTCGTTTAGAATATTTGCGATAAAACATCATTTAGTTAATTTGTAAAATGACGACAGGAGAAAGCGAGAAATTAATGATGTTGATGGAGGAAAAATATGTTGAAGAAGATCGCTTAGCTTTTAAGGGAATGAAAGAGAGTGTTTGGCAGTTAGTCAGTGATAATCCATGAGAAAATCTCATTATAAAATTACTGCGTAAAAGAGGTGAGTGAAAAAAAAGCTTTTTGGATCCTTTACTGTTCGTTTGAGTGTAAAAAAAATAAGCTTTGGGTGGAATTCACAAATGATGTTTCATGGAAGAGATCAAAGTACAATGTAAGATAAAATAAGGAAACATTTTCAGGCTCTTAATATCATTCACAATGTTCCGGTAAAAAATGTTAAAATGTTTGCCTTCTTAATTTTTTGGGAAGGAAAAAGTTTCTTTGAGAAAACAAAAGAAAGTATAAAAAATCTTGAAGAAAAGAAGAAAAACATATTTTAATTCCATAATGAAATTAATTTGAAACAAAATGAGATAACAGCCCGTGGCGGGCTTAAAGCGTGGGTGGAGAATAAAACAGTAAAAAACGAAATAAATTAAAATCCTTTCTTTATTTAATTAATTTCTGTTTTGGTATTCAGAAGGTCTTTTTTTCCATTTCGTTCATCTTATTCATTTAAAAGAAAATCAAAAAAATAATCGAAAGAAAAACGAAGTCGAAAGAATACTAAAGCGAGCAACAAGATGAGAAATCGCTTCAACCAATGAAATAATTTAGAGTGAATTTAATTTATTCCAAGCGGAATCATTGATACTTCGGTCGGCATTTCTCGGATGAAAGAAATATTTGGAAGGCGATGACGAAGTTTTGTGTTCTGCTTTTGCCAACTCACTCAGCTGTGCATTGAAATAAACTTTCTTTTTTGTTGTAACAAGGAAGAAACAAAAAGTTTTCTGAGGAATGTTTTAAAGTTTAAGTCAATTCCGTTCGCATGCCTTTTTTCTTGTTGAAATCAATGAAATTATTTAAATTGACTCCGATGAGCCTTCTTGGAACTTTCTGATTTCTCAATTTCACTGGGGGATCAAAGGGAATACAAATTTCATTGTGACATCGATCACAGAGAAAAAGCTTTTTCTATTGTACAAATCATTCATTTCCTTTAATTTTGCAACTGAAGAAGGTTCACCCAATTGTCAACATCATTATTATATCTTACAGAATAACAATTTCTCTTTTTATTCAAATTCAACTCGTACGCAATCAAAAGCCGCTCTAAGGCATCTTGTTTCTCATGAGATTTTCCTTTCAAATGTTATCCTAAAATTTTCTCTTATACGGAAAATTTCCTGCTCAAGATGCTTGATGATGTAACAATAAAGAAAATTCGGGAGTTAAATAGAGTGTTCATGTTCAAAATAGTTTTATCGACTTCCTTTTTATGTAGAAGTGGAACTTGAAACTTCAATATTGAATATATTAAATTTATGAAGACAGATGGGGGATTCACTCCAGTTGAAGGTTGCTGAACCAACTACATTTCCTTAACAGGCGCCACATAACACTCACATTCGCTTGATGTTCTGCTGAGTTTTGCATTTATTCAATGTCCAAAAGCATTATTGGGAGCAGGCTATAACACATAACACACAGGAGACTGTTCTATTGACAGCTTTTTATATTCCACTTCAACATTTTCTCTCGTTCAACTACGCAAACCGTTCACCCTTCTTATCTTAAAATTCAAAGTAGCTTTTTGCGATCGAAAGTGTATGAATAAATGGATCGAGGGGTGGATGAGACGAGAAAGCGAGAGCACTATGAATTTTATTACAATCAACATCTGGACTGGTGAAGAGGATAAAAAGAAGAAAGAAAAAAAATACTTTTAGCAAACAATCATGTGAAAAGCGATTTCTTAGTTTGAATGCGAATTGAAATATATTTATTCAAATGAAAATCGATTTTAGGATTTTAATTCTCAACAACTTTATCCGCACGAAGGAAGGTGATTGGAATAATTTTAAAAGAAATTCCTTTTATACAAAAATTAAGGGAATTTTCAAAAAGTAAATGTATTAGCTATAATAAGTGTTAGAAGAGTTGAAGCAGAGAAATTTTCAAAACATAAAGTTCTCGCCATTTTTATTGAGAAAAATAAAAATAAAGAAATATTCACAGCTTTGACATTTTCGTGACTTTAACAAATTTCATGTCTCCGAACCCGAACCTTCGTCTCTTTTTGAATTTATTTAAAGTTCAAATGAAAGTTGTGCGAGAAACATTTTTATTCAATGGCCCTTCCAGCCGTTCGTCGTTCATTTAAATTTTATTACTTTTCCATAAACCCAAGCAACAGAAGTAGCAGATGAACAGAGCGCTTAATTATTCCGATTAATTGAGTTTTCGAAATGTTATTAAATTATCATAACAAAAACAAATTGTTGTTTTTCCTGTTCTCCAAAAAGTAATTTTTAGACGAGAAATAAAAGGGACAGCAAAGCAATGCAGGCGGAAAAATTGCGTCATTAATTTTTTTTCTTCTTCGTTTCCCGGACACTTTGTGTTTCCCCTTTTTCTATTTCATTGTTAAACGTCAGAATAAGAATCATTAGTATTTATTTTCTTGAAAACACGTTGCGTTTTGCTACGAGTATTCAATATATAAATGTAGACTTATATAAGTTCTGGAAGGAGTGAAGCGCGTTGCTTTGTGATTGCGTCATGCCAATTAAAGAAAATTGCGAGAAAGGAAGAAGCCAAGAAAAAAAAGAAAGAAAATTCATTCATTAACAATTTTCGCCAATTTTCACATTCGCCCCACGACACAAGTTGCTTTAGACCTTTGGTCTTGTAATTTCCCATGAGCAACAAATTGTGAAAAGGGTGATTGTTAATTGAATCAATCTTTATGGGATATGAGAGAGTGTTAGATCTAACGTACAGTGTTAGATTATGACGCTTGAAAAACTCGTGAAGGGTATTCTGAGAAAAGTTAAGTAAAAGTTAGAACATAAGTCATCAAACCCACTTACTGAGCTGTTTGCTTGTCTTTCACGTAACTTTCCTCATTAAAATCTCATCGTAAGTAGATGTTTGCTTTTGTTATTGTTCAACGTTAAATCCGCTCGCCTCGCTAACCAGTAATCGCTACTTAATTATTTTATGATGAACAACATAAAATCAAGAAGAAACTTTAAGCTTTTTGAACTGGATATCTACTTGAATTCCATATAATTACAGAAATCACAAGAAAAAAAAGTTTCGATTTCATTGTTATCGCTAATGCAAAGAAAAAAGCAGAAAAAAAACATTGAAGAAGATTTATCGAGTGATTAAAAAAAGTTAAGCAAGGAAAGTTTCTTCTTTTAATGTAAAAGAAAAAAAAATCGATAGAATGGGCTGCGAAGGATATTTTTCCTTTTGCAAATGACACAAAAGCACCAGACGAACGACAAAAGGAAAATTGATAATGACGTGGAAGTCGAGAATATCATTTTTTTCCGTCTAATCCTTACCAGCCACTTGCAGAAAGAAGGCAAAAGGAAAATTAATAAGAAAACGATCATTTTTAATAGAAATTTATGCTTTTATTCTTTTCTTCTTCGTCGCTTTATTATCGCTCGAGACTTTTATGTTGTCAATAAATTTTCATTTTCTATTGTTCAGGCGATTTTTTATTGACCTGACTAGGTCGTTAAGCCCGTGAAGTGGAGAACTGGGTAACTTGCGGCAATCTCGCACGAATTATTTTTCTTTTCTTTTGCTTAAAAATAAAACATTCTCGTGAATCATTGAAAATGACGACAATCTAAGCAACGCTTAATTGAATACTCTGCTCTGAATTCAACCTATGCTTTCTTTGCTATTGTTTTTCTTTTTCTTTTTTTCTCGTCCTTCACGTTCTACGTAAAAAAAGTTACGACGGTTAAAAGAAATGACATAACTCTCTCGTGGCTTTTTCTTCAGAAAGCAACGAAATTTATTTTTAATTAATTTTATGATCTTTTGCTGTGCGTCGTAAAAACGTACGTTGCTGGTCGTTGCTAGTGGTGAAGGTGAAGGAGAGTTGCTTTATAAAAAAAAGGACGAAAGAAAAAATAAGAAGGAAAGAAAGAAAGATGATGACAGAAGCGAAGGGAAGGAAAATGATATTCCATTTTAATATCAGAGCCAAAATACTTCGTTTTGCGTTTTATGCTTTTTCTACCCTTAGCATTACTTTTTCATGTTGTCGAGAATTAACGTTCATTTATCACGGACTTTATTTAACTAAATTGAAATATCCTTCCAGAGCTCGTTAAAGCATTCTCCTCCCTTCAAAAACCCCAAGCCACCGCCAATGCTTTTAAAACCGCACACGACAAAATATGATGATAAGATATAAATAAGCGACAACGAACGAGAGTGAGAGAGAAGGAGAGTGAAAGACAAATTTCGTTGACTAAAAATTATTAAGCTTTCACATTTTTATGTTCGAGTAACAGGCGACAGAAAAGTTTATCTGTTATTATTTCCCACATCAATCCGGAAAGACTTTAATATGATTTATTTTATTTGACTGATGACTTTTTTCATTTTCTTTCAAAATGATCTTAGGAAGGTTAAATAGAAAATTTTTATGATGACTTGACGCCACTTGAATTGTTCACAGAAAAATGAGAACAGAAAAGTTTTCCTATTTGCAATTTATTTGTAATGAATTTGAATTTTTTAAGACTTACCACTTTGAATGAGTCCAAAAGATAGAAGTAAAACAATCGTGTACTGTGATTTGATGTTGTTTGTGAATGTTGAGCGGAAGCTTCTCATGTCAACATGACGTTTTATGAAAGTTTTTCTCCTCATTTCCATTTTTTTGTTTTAATATTTGATTTTCTTTTCTGTCGAAAATTGTTTCTAGTGCTGAAATTGTTTCTTTTCTTTTTTTTTAACAAACTTTTTATTTAGTGAAAATTTTAAATGAAAAAGTTTTTCCACATTTTCCTTTCACACGACGTGATAATTTTCCTGTTCTAGTCTAAAATTTTTTTCATGATCGTTCTCAAAATGAACAATAACTTTGTGCTTAATAAGCGCCCTTGTATTGTTCGCGTATTATTTTCACTGCTGTTCATGAATTGTTGTTTAAACCTTCTCCTTTTAATTGTGCAAATTGTTGCAGCTTTACTGAGGAACTCTTACTCTTCGCTGCAATTCGCAAGTCTATGAGTCTGGAAATAGAATAAAAGAGAGAAAAAATGTCAGTTTTAAGCTTTTATTGAAAGCAGAATGTAAAGGAAATTGTAAAACAAAAGGATTTAGTCATTCAGAGAAGAATAGAAGTCGTTAAGCGCACATGTTCACTACTAGTGACTCCTTTTGCATGAGAGCAAAATTCAATTTATTACTTTTTTGTTCTGTTTTTATTATCTTTAATCAGAACAAACAAAAATTCATATCAGTTCACTACAATCATCGTATCTAGTTGAAAAGCAATGCTTCCATAAACCTGTTATAGAATTAAAGTCGATCTATTTTCCCATAATTACTGTTTATGTCAAAACCGCTATTCAATATGTCTTTCTTTTCAAGTTTTATTGATAGTAAAATCCTTGACCACTTGTAAGTTGATTCAAATAATGGAAAGTAATTGAAAAAGCTTTATTTGATTTATGATAATTGAAAAAGAAGTAAACAATTGTTTTCATTTCACTTCGAATTTCCAAAAACTTTTCGGTAGTCCGACAGTAAAAGTTGTTTTAAAACAAAAAACTAATTTCACAGCAACAGTTTCTCCTCCTTTGTACTTTAAAATTTTAAACAAATTAAGATAATTTGAAGAGAAATTTAAATTTGAAACTTTCACAAACAAAAGAATTATTAACACGAAGAATGAAACTCATAAAACGTTACTAAAAGTTAATTATTTTGAATTCGATATTATTGGAAATTGATAAAATATTCAATTTTTTAATGATATTCGTATTCAGCTCGTATGAACTTTATTGTTTATTATCGTTTGACATTATAAATCAAATTAATTGGAGATTTCGATCCAGCTAAGAACCAACAATAATAATAATAAATAAAATATCGATTTAATAAAACTAGCACACAAAATGTCATACGAGTCAACTATTAAAACTATTTTTATCAGTAGCTATGCAAAACTGTTAAGGATATTTATTATTCAAATATTTTAAATATTTAATCGGATTCAAACATCCTCTTATTTACTAACTTTTCCTATGCTTCATCTGCATTGAATCAATTAAGTTCAATCTTGGAAATTTGAAGCACAAGATGAAAATTTAAATGTCTAAAGAGATGACTCGCTTTCCTTTAAAAATAATCTTTAATGGCTTCACGAAAATCCAATTTCACATGATGAAAATTTAATTACAATCAGCGCATTTGGAAGTTTTTCTTATTATCCTCTCACATCTTTCTGATGTTAATATTCGGTACTTGAGGCATAAATGATTCTTTGGGGAATATATGTGTGTGTATAAATATATATAATTTTTGCTTCAAAATCCTTCAATGGGATGAAGATTTTTGAAACGGCGACAGGGTGTTGTTTCTCATTGAGGGCTGTTTTTAATTGTATGAAATTTCAAATTAAAATTTAATTATACTTAGGGTACGTATTTATTCGTGTTTTTCAGGGTAACGAATATTCGCCGAATATTTTTTTAACTCTTTTAATATTCGCCGAATAGCGAATAATTATTCGTTATTGTTTTTTTCTTTAAAAATTCAGAAACATCTGAATATTTTTAATTATAGTTTAATTTTTGACATCTTCTTTTATAATTTGACTCTCATTAACTTTTATTGCCTCAAAAGTTGTTATAACGCGGATGCTGATTCCATGTTTACTTGCACATTTTGCAAGAATTTCTTCTGAAGCATTTTAAGAATCATGCGAAACATGCTCACGACAAGGTTTGATGAATTTTCCTGGAGTTGAGAAATATTAGCTGCGTTCGAATCGTTTGTTACATCATCGGGATCTAAAGGCTGTGTAAAAGCAAATGATTCGACATCGACGATTTTGTAAATTCAGATCTTAATGTCTTTATCACAAATTTTACAAGTAGAAATTTCGACCCACGACTTCTTTTTTTCATTGAAATTTTCATTTTCATAACGTTTAAATAAAGTTTTCGGTTGCTTTTTATCTACTTGTAATTTACTTAAATTATAAAAATTAATGC